ATTTCAATATTTATATGAAAAAAATTCCCACCAAAATAATATTTGTCTTAAGGTAGCTTTATGACTATTTTCCGGCTTCAAGTTACCAACTGTGCTGTATTATCTCAGCACTGCCTTTTAGCACTAACCGAAGGTTAATTTTAGCAGCAGCTCAGTGCTAAGAGAATGGGAGGGTAGTTTACACCTCTGAAAATTCCAAGTTATGTAGTCAGTGTACAACAGCTCAGGAAAGGCAAAAGATAATTTCCCCCTCTCATTCCTTGCTCTTTTAGCAGAAGGAAAAGTACTCTAATAATGGACTGTGAACAAATTAATACAAAAGTTATGCTATCCAACACAAATTACATGAAAGAATTTTTTGTCTTTGCTGCAATATCAGAGGCAAATGTGCCCTGAGATGGAGTGGGGGGAGAGGTGTGGCTGCACAGCAGCTGCATCAGCAGGCAGGGAGCATTCCTGCTGCAGGCCTGGGATTGCATCCACCCAGCATCCCTGCAGTCCATCTGAACCAGAACGCTGCTCCCTGTAAGCTACTGGTGCTCTTCTTTTGCTGTGGTAGAATTAGACATATCATAGATATTTAATAGAAATTGAAATTGGTCTGCTGTTTTCAGAGCAAAGCTTTTTTGACATGGTTTTACTGACAGTAACAGAAGTTGCATGTTTGCATGAGCTCGTTTTTGACTACATGCTAGGCATTCCTTGTATTGTCAGGCTTCATTCCAGCTTCTCAGAGTCCAAAAAGAAACTCTTCCATTTTTTTGTGTTCACAGGGAATGAAACATGAGATTCCAAAAGTTTTTGAAATAATTTTAAGTCTTTACTGGAAAGTTCTGTTAAGTTCACTCAACTGAAAAAAAACCTCATTAAAATTCAGATTTCTGTGAAATCATTTTTTTGGTGGAAATTCACATTTTTCCTTTTCCTACACTTGCTTCTAGATCGAGAGACACAAGTTGGAAAAATGAAAATGCCAAATGGATATTAGGAAAAAAAGTTTGACCACAAATTGAATTCATTCTAGAACAGGTTGGACAGAAATGTCCTGGAATTTCCATTGTTAGGGATATTTAAAACTTCATGGGCTAAGTCCTTGAATAACTATAGCAAGGGATTAGACAGATGTCCTGAAGAGTCCTGTCCATATTATTCCTTGGCTCTGTGTTGATAAAAGGATTATATTTCAAAGAGAAAAAGTAGAAAAACAGTAATATTGGTCTACTTCATTTAAAAACTAACTATTCACATATGTAGTGTATAGAAACTAACATAGTTGAGGATAATTTTTTTGAAAGTTCACAGTAACTAGTGGCTTTGACAGTTGTGAGAAGCATAATTGTAAATTCAAGGCAATAAAACTTTAATATCACTCTGACCATCTAGGGTATTTGAACTGTTTCTCAAAGAAAGAGTAGTTTTCTATAAAATATTCCTCTTTTTTGTTTTAAATTAGTCTGTCTTCTCAAAATGTAACTTTTTCTGTTGCAGAGGAAACAGACAACATGACAACTCTTGTGATAGTATATTAGGGTTTTTGTAGCATTACAAAATCAGCAAAATTAGCATTACAAAATAAATTATTATTTGAAGGCAATATAATACACATCCATTTTAAATGATTGAACCATATCCAATCCATGCTAAAGAAATAATTAAGTCTGTTTCTGAAAACTTTCATTAATCAGTCCTAAGCACTAAAAGACTATTATACATGAACAGTTTCATAATTTTTTTTTTGTAACTTAATGCACGCTAGTTTTGCATTTCATTAAATGCAGTAGTTTGGCTTCCTTTTACCTTCTGATTTTCTTTGACTGGATTTGAATTCATCCAATAGTAACTGAATTTTAAGAGGTGCAGGAAGCATGACTGATAACCTTTGAAGAATATTCCAGTTTTCTCTGTGTCTTAGGGATTAGCTATTCCTCACAGCTAATCAATTACTAGCCTACTTGCCAGGGATAAATGGTAATTAAGAACCTGTTCAGAAAAAAGGCTTCTAAAAGAAGAAAATCTTCTTCTTGGTCCTATACCATTTTTGTAGCATTCTTCTTGTGTAGTTAGGAAAGATTTAGCATTTGAAATGTCTTTTAAATATGTTGAAGCTGATGTAATGTTAGGATAAAAGCATACCTAGTTTTGTTTCAAAATATAAAATAGTCAGCTCTTTGAAAACTAGTCTTTGCCAAGAAATTCCATGTGGAACTCAGATGTCATCTGGTTTTCTACAGTGTATTCTGAACAGCTGTGAAAGTGGTCTGATGTTTTGGTAAAATTGACCTTCTAGTGTCAAGCAGTTTGGGTGTAACATTCTGAGAATATATTATCCCTTTTTTTTAATATCAGCATTGTCATGACTATAATGCTTCTCATTAATTGATATTAAGGTGTTGAGTTAGTAAAGAGACTATCAATATCTCATATACTCATTTAATTCCCGTTATATTTGTTACAGAGTCAGTCTAGAATGTTAATAATATCTCATGTTGGATGATTAATGAATGCCACTGCTTTTACTGAGTTGTTATGCATGTAACAATTTTATGCCTCATCAAGAAGGAAACATCATAAAGGCTTCTCTTAGAGTTGAGAATCAAATTTTTATCCAGCACCATATGAATGGCTGTTTGAATTTTCTAATAAACATTTATTTTTACATTACATATTCATGTGATAGCACCTCTAATTAAAAAAAAAAATAAAGAGTGACACTTCATTAATTCATGCTCATGATAAAACCCAATATGGGGGTTGGGAAGAACACAGAAAAAATGTTAATAAATTTTTCTGACACACTGAAGATTTGTAACATAAGCTGGCTAGCAGTTATCTTTCTTGTGGTTAGATTAGGAATGAAACACAGAAGAATTATTTTGGCAGTAGAACATTATTATATGGTGGCCAGCTTGAGCAATGCAGCAAGCTGAACTTGAAACATTATATAATTTAGGTCTGTTTTTTTTTTTTTTTTTTTTGGAGAATAGGTGCTTTTGTTCAAACCACTCTTGTCTGGATTGCATTGTAGTCATCAGAAATTTAAGAGAAAATTACCTCACAAAGTTCTAAAACTTATAATGTCCGGTAATATAATTTCATGACTATGAAAGAGAAATCAAAATATCTGCCCTGCTACCATTTCCAGGAAGACATGTGTTTATGGAGATGTAAAAACTTTGGAGCATAACTATTGGAGATAACATGATAAATTCTCTTAAATCTTGTTTGTATGTGAATTTTATAAAACTATTGCCTCTTAAGTGCAGTTGAAATTCAGAAGCTTGCTATAAAACATGCAGAACTGGAACTGGATATAAAGCAGGTGTAGGAGGCTTGTGGCTCCTGTGCAGACGCGCTGTAAAAATATCCTAAGACTGGTATCAGCACAGTCTTTTGGATTTTGTATACACATTTCTTATGTTTGTGCTGTTTTGGTATATTTCCTTCTCAGGCTTTGGAAGACAAGGTATGGGACCTGCTGCAGGAAGCAGACAAGGTTGCAGAGGAGAACAAAGAAAAGAGTCAGGTTTATGATGCCATGGCAGAGACCCTTGGGGATGCATGGGATGCCCTCATCATTCTGTTAGAGAAGCGACAGGCACTTCTGGAACTTACTTCAGTGTTCTTTGAAAACGCTCTGGAGGTTTGTATTTAAATGAAATAACTGCTAATTTGAAGCCACCCTCATCTTACAAGTACTCTGCCCACTGTAATTTTAATATGTTTTATATTGTTCATTGTATTCCTAAAGTTTGAGTCAAACAATAAAATTAAATTATTTGGATCCTTCCTCAAGATCCTTCCTTTTCCACCTTTCAGAAAGTGCAGGATGAAGCTGAACAAAACACCGCGTTGACTTTAAGAAATATTTTAGTCACGATGTCTCCCAAATTTATACTTGACAGAAAATGCCAAAGAAAAGTGGAACTGGACCAAACCCTAAAATATGTATTTCAGTGGCCATGGACATTCTGCAGAATAGCTTTCATTCCTTATGACTAAAATTATTTGGCATTGAAAGAACTTATTCTCAGGTGCCTTTACTGATGCACACTGATGATTGGTCACTGAAAGTTTTACACCAAAATATCCCTAATTTCATAAAGCAAACATTAGTCTAACTTGACCGTGCTTTACCTGAGACTTTGCTGTGGAGATGGACACAAAAGAAAAACTGTGTGATCCCTGTTTACCCATTTATCTTATCCTAATTCACTGATACACTCAGGGAGCTAAAGAAGAGAGGAATTCCATACCCTGCAGGTTTTTGCCCACTGTGTGTAGCCTCAAGATCAACTGTCCCCACATCCTGGAACTTGAAGAGTTTAATAATTCTCCCTGATAATTTTGTTTCCAGTGCCCCCTATAAATTGCAGAAGCAACCATGGGATTGCTAACTGTCCTAAGAAGCCCAAGATGAACAATCTACTTATTATTGTATTCTGATAGTATGCATTATACAAAGAAATTAGATTTGGCATAAAGCTTTGTAGGAAAGATGATTAACAAAGTGGTGAATTGTAATTATAGATTGTGTCAGCTAAAATCCTTCAATCAATCAGTACCTGAAAGAAAAAAACAACTCAGGAAGTGCATAGAGGCCACAAAGCATCTGTACCTGGCAGCCACTAAAAATGCCTTTCTCCAAGAATTTACAAATTCTCATGAACTTTCCCAGTAACACAGAGATTATGATGTAGTTATGTAAAACAGAATTACAGCGTGCTTCTCCCTATCTTTTGTTTCCTTAATGCAGTTTGCTGTTAAAATTGACCAAGTTGAAGATTTCCTAAAAACTGCTCAAGAGTTCGACAATATTGACTCTTTGAGAGAACTTCTTCTGCAACAAGAACATCATACAAAAGGTACAAACAGTATTCCACTCCTGATGGCATGTGGTTGTGTGCTGACTTCTTGATGGAGTAATTTTGGTTTTTTCTGTGTGTATTAAAAAAAAACAAAAAAAAACCCAAACTTATAAAAAATATGCAGATGTTCTGTTTGGAAAAATATAATGGTGAGATAGATTTTGGCAGACTTGCTGAAAGATGTGAAATGCCTGGTTTCAAGCTAGCCCTTGCAGCTTGCCTTCAACAACTTTCCTGCACATATCTTTGCCCATAAAGTTTCTTTCACATGAATTACTTTTCTTTATTCAAGCTTTTGTGTGAAGTACCTTCTACTATATTGTGACACATTCAAATCAAAAAGAGAAAAAAGTTCTTGGAACTAATCTCATTGTGTGGCTCTTTAGACACCTTTGCAATTCCATATGGTTCTGCATTTTTTATAAGTCTTAAGACTCTGTCTTTGTAATTTTAATCAAATTTTAAAATTAAACTTGGCAGAATATAAATGATACTTTATTATTCACTAGTGGAGCACTAGCTAAACTGTTTTTAGCTACCTTGAATGCCAGTTATTCTTTCTGGGAGGCTGAATAGAGAATTAAACTTGGATAACACTAATATGGGTTTTGAGTCCTCCAAATAGATCTTCATGGGAACAAAGTGCTCACTGCCTACCAATTTAAACTTGGAGTATCTGGCAGCAATTTACTGCTGAAAAGATGGTTTATATCTGTAAGGATCAGATGAAATTATTTGCCAAAGTCTGCTTTGATGGAAATAAGACTTCCCTCAGATGGAGGAAAGTGGCTGCAATTTATTGACTCCTTATTCTACCCTAAAATAAGAAAAAGAAAAATTAAAAGCTGATATTGAGTCATCTGATAAAAAAACAGTGCTTTCTACAGGAAGGATAATCTCTACCCACTCCAAAGAAAGGTGTCTGAAAATACAACCCTGGCCAAGTGTTGACTCTACCAGTATGTGATAAGTAGTTTATCAAAAATGCTTATCACTCTGGAATTTTAAAAAAAAAATATTTTAATACAATTGCACTCCAAAATGTAATTTAAAAAGTTAAAACTTATGAAATATTTTTGTTTACCCATTTCTATGTATGTTCAATTTTGGATGGACTGAAATGAAACATTTCTGATTAAATACCACTTTTCTGGAAGGCAAGAAGTAAAATGGACAGGCTTTTTGCAGTGAGCTCATGGACACTAATCTCTTTGGTTAGCCCTTGGTGACTGAAGAACTAGAGGCCTCCCACTCTGCTTCTTCCCTAAGTGTTTTTGTCCAAGGTGGGGATTTAGGGTGCTTTGCCTTGAATTATCACTACAAGTACTCAGCTGGGAAGAGTTCGGAGTTTAAAGTTTCAGGAGGATTGCTTCTTGTTCTTTTATTGGAAGATCTTGGTAAATATTCCTTTCTTTATACTTTCCTTCATGTCTACCTTGACGCTTGTAGTGGTTTGTCTCCCCCTCTTCGTCATTCTGTGCCTAAAAATATTTCCTTTTTCATTTGAAAGATTTAGAAATATTGATCATTGTCCATCCAATAGATTTGGAACTATATGACTTTCAGGAGATGGAACAAAGATAGACATGTCACTAATAAGTCATTAAAGTGGAGTAGTTCATTTTTAACTAGAATTTTAACCCTGAATGTGTCCAGGTAAAAACTATAGAAGAAGGTAAGAGTTCCTGATACCCCTGGATTCTTTATAACAGCACCCAGGCATGTGAGAACTTTTTTCCCCAATGCCTGTGAGGGATGTAAAGACCTAAACTTAGCTTCACTAGTGAAAAACTGCAGAGTGTAATGACCCACAAGGGAAGCAGGGTAGAAAATTCCACTTTGGCTTACCCACAGGTTGGGAAACCATCAAAAAGAACTGTTTTGAGAAAACAATGACACTTCTCGGTTTTGTTTTGATGTCTCCCAGTATACCATTATATGTGTGCGTATATATGTTTGTGTATACACCATTGTACTTTTGCAGGTTTACCTAAGAGCTCTCCAAATTGAAATATCTTACAATATATATTTATCTTCTAAAGTAAGCATTCATGTTCATGCAATGCATGAAAATATGTTGTGCTCGTGTATGCAAATAGATAGTTTGAAAGATACATGAGTAATATTTGAAATATGATACTAGAATCACAAAGCACTCTGGGTTTTTCCTGATGAAATTCTTTTCTTGCAGAACTTTTGGAGAAGTCATTTGCTCTTTTAAACAAAAGCCATGACCTAACTCAATTCATAGAAGAATTCAAATGTGAGGGGCCAAATGCAAATCCAGAACTGATTCAAGGAGCCCACAGCAGCTGCTTGAAGATTGACAATCTCCTTGAGATGCTGCAGGACAGGAGACGCCAGCTGGACAAATTCCTCAGACATCAGCGCCAAGGACTGGAGCAGGTTCTGCAAATTTGTTTGTGGCACCAACAGGAGACCCAGGTAACACAAAAAATATCAAGGGAAATCACAGTATGCAAACCAACCCAGCAACTGTTTAACAGTACAAATAGAGAAGAAGCTTAAATATATTTATTAAGCCTATATTTCTGGGCTACTTCTGTTTGAGGAAACCCTAACTTTTGAATGTTTGACTGATGTTAGTGGGAGTTAAGGGGATACAGAGCAAAAAGAGTACTGGAGACATTCTCTGCTGCACTTAATCTAAGAGTAGCTTTTTGTTCTTTGTGTTGCTTCTGTTTTGCTAGGCACAGCTGTGTAGTCTAGAAGGATGCAAAATCTATGTGTTGTTTATCCCTTACTACCAGGTTATGAAACACTGAAAATGCAACATCTCCCTTTGATCTCTAGCTGGAATGTGATGATCTGATAGTCATGATTGTAACATATTCCTTATTCAGAATTTTCTATGTGTGAAAGCATATTTATTTTACATAGCTTCCTTTATGAAAGTGTCAGCATCATATTTTCCGATCTCTCTTTCATTAATGAAAATCAAAGGCAGATTGGCATATTTTATGCATAATTAGTTATCTTTGGAAGAATAAGGTAATTAATCTAGTCAATAATTATTGTAAATGAAATATAAAATCTGATTCTTGAAAAACAGGAGTGATTTTAGATTTCAACCAGTCAAGGAATGCCATGTCTTTTTCTAAAATCTGTGTTAACCTTGTCTCCTTTCCCATACCTTCAGCAAAATCACTGAAAGTGGAATTTTGTGGGTTTTTTCCTTTAAAGCAAGTTAAGAATTCTCAGATATTCCTTCAGAGCTAAGGTAGCATGGTGAAATCTCTCAGAGGTATTAGCTGTAGTGGAAGCCAGCTGATTAAACTCACTGTAATGGAAAGGAATATTGCCAAGTGGTAAAAGGGTGAACACTTTGCTATAACAGGGTTAAAAAATTACTTCTTCCTCTGCCTAACATTACAGATATACTGGCTTGTTTTGCTAAACCGATACATGATAAAAATCCCCCAGACCTAATTTGCAGATAAATTTTTATTTCCCTTCTAGCACAGTTTTTATTGTCCACTCCATTTATTTGGTTTTTGATGAACTCATAGTAAATATTCCGTGAAAATGTGTTTCCAGGAAAGATATTTCAGTCAGTGAGTACACATCTGGAGGATATACTCAAGAAATGAAGGCTTAGTATTAAAATAATTTCCTTACTTCCCTAGGTCTCTTGGACTCATAATCTTAATATTTTTTATGTGTAACTGAAAATATTTCCAATATATTTTAAAAGTATTTTAATTTTTTTTGTAATTGCTTAAATTTATTAAAAATATTGTGATTCTTCATGAGCAGATAAAACAACAAGAAAAAGTCTCTAGTGGGCTACTAATATCTGTAGAGTACAGAAATTCTTCATATGCTGCCTACAATCTAAGTATAGTGGTGATTTTCCAGACTGGAAATATTGGAGGACGTCCTCTTGATACCAATAACTAATTCTGGATACTATCTTAAAGTGTGGAACTTCACTCAGGAATTCTTGCCATGTGTTGTTAACCAAAAATGTGAGAGGTACCTACTATGAATCAAGCAGGTACAAATGCAAGTAATTCTGTGGAATTTAGAAGATTTTATTGTATGCTGCACATATTTGCTGCATATACTTGTTGAAGAGGTTTGTAAGATGTAGTAAATTTGTGCATCTACATAAGATTATTCCATACAATAGTATCCCATTGTCTTTACTGAGTTTTTCAAGCCAGGGATGGAGAGGTTCTATTAGGTCAGAAGTACTCAGATTTGTAGTATTTTACTGTATGCAAGTATTTAAGTTACTGTATGTCAAGGGATAATGTACAATATCGTTATGGTATCAAAAAACGTGCATTTATTCTGTGCAAGGCTATAACTTGATTCTTCTTTTACTGTGTTAATTCACAATCTTGATACTTGATTTTCATACTTGATGAATATATTTTTGTCTGTTTTGTCATATATATCCACTGTGTGCTTGCTTTGGTATTAGTCCTTTCCTTCTGCATTTGTTATGACAGAAATATAATTGTTTAAGTAAAGAATGAACATTAGGAATGAAAAATGAAAGGAATGAAAATGTGAGTTTTTTGTTTTTGTTTTTGTTTTTTTTTTTTTTATACTGCCTTGTACATATTTTTAAAAATGGACTTCTCAAACTTCTCACTGAGTTCTTTTTATTATTTATTTAGGTAACATCTTGGTATAAGAAAAACATTAGAGATTACTTTCAGAAGCAAAACTTAGGCTCATCACTATTGGAAAATGAAGAGTTACTTCAGGAACTTGAAGAAATGGAAGTCAAAGTGAAAGTAAGAAATACCATAATTGGTTGGTGAAACAACTTTAAAAATTAGTAGCAAAACATGATCTTGGGCATTGAACAAGCAGATATAGGAGCAGACATTTTCTATATGTACATGAGATATACGTCTCTATATGTCTAAATTATTTTAGTAATTTTACTGCTTTTTATGCAAGGCCTCCATATTTCTCAGATTTTTTTTTATTTAAAATTTAAAAAGCTACCCATAAGTTATAAGAAGAATAACCCTTGATGTTGTTTAGTTGGTTTTTCAATCTAGTGATCAAATTCCACACTGGTAATTCTCATGTAAAATCCTGTGGTGAAAAATGCATAAAAAATAATTTTATTCGAATTTTAATGTTAAATTTTAAAATTTAACATTAAATTTAAATTAATTAAATTTAATTTTTGTTTGATTTAATTATTTTTGTTAAATAAATTTAATAAAATTCAACATTTAAAATTTTTTAATTTTACTGTTTATAAAGGACAATACTCCAGCCATTTCTACCATAATTAATTGTCAGTGAACTGAGTACATGATTGGAAGAGGTACTTGCCCATTTATTTCTTGTGATTAAAAGTAATTGAAAATGCCACTTTCATAGTTACTATCAGTTTTCCAGAGAATAAATCTGTTATTGCCACTCATAAAAGCAAGATGATATTAAAGAAAATGTTGCTATGAGAAGAAAGAATCTTAGTATGAAATAAATTGCCTATATTTAGAACCTTTTTTAGGTAACTGAATTGTGCCATAATCAGGTAAGTGCTGCTGCTGGGTCAGGACCATTCCCCAATATATCATTTTCATGCAATTGAATTTGGATAACCCAGATGACCAAGGAGATCTTTTTCATCCATAAAGTACTCCACTAGAACGAAATGTCTTTTAAAAGGTTATTGTGGTGTTAGTAAGAGCTTCTGATTGTTCACAGATCTGTTTCCTTGTAAGCTTTGTAGTTAAATGTCACATGTTTGCCTGTTTGCATAATTAACAGGTAACTGCTTCAAGGCTGTCATGTTAACACAATACAATAATATTTCTAATGCTTCTCCAAGCAGCATGTCAAAAATACTTTTTGTTTTTAAAGGGAAGATGAGCATGTAAAGATAAATTCTTCTGAACAGACCTTTGACACAAGAAAAACAGAAAAAGCAGTAAATGAGTACACTGTGGAGTGTTTTCAGAGAGAGACACAACAATAAGTGTTCTAAAGCATTGCTGAATTTTAACCAAATAATAATCAGTATTTCCCACATTTCATTTTCACAGGCTATTCTTGTAATTAGGCTATCTGAATTAGAAATTAGGGTGTAAGTGCAGAAAGGAAAACACGCATTTTCATTTTTTATAATAACATTTTTCATGGTTGAGTATCTAGAAATTAACTTATAATAATAACACTTATTATTACAATTTCACCTAAAAATTCTTCTCCCACACATTATGCAATAGATCATTGATATAATTTTAATTAATTTCTTTTTTAATGAGATAATTTTGAAGTGTTTAGCATTAAATGTTTTTGTTACACATCCATGTGAATTATGATTTTGAGCATCTTATTTTTAAGCCTTCTGCAATTCTTACTATCAGCATGTTCTAACAGAGGGAAATTAAATTCTTGAAGGGAATATTACTGAACATGTAGGTTTTGCTTATGATGTGCAGAAGAGTGGCCATGTTGAAACTGCATGCTGAAAATATAATTGAGAAAGTTGTGAGTTATGGGGCTTGGAGAAAGCTGTGAGTTATAGGCATTGGTTTTTGCAGCACTGAACTGCAGATGTTGAAAACAGAATAAAGGAGGAACCTGCTCCAAAGTAGCATAAATAAATATTTTCAAGTACCATTTCATATGTGTACTGTAGCTCAGAGCAAAATGTTTGTGTGCAGTAGATATGCAGAGCAAGTTCAATGTTCTCACAGGGAATGGAAATTTCCAATGTCTGAAATTTCACACAACGTGTTTACTTACATCTATTGTTGTATTAGGTTAAACAGCAGAAATGGTTTCTTAAATTGTTCAGAGGCCAGCCTAAGAGGGTTTTACAGGCCTAGCATTTAATTTATGGGGCTGGGCTGAGAAGAGAAAGGAGAATGATTAATTGTTATTATTATTTTCTCAATCTGGTGTCTGATGTTGAACTTCACCTTGCTAAGAGATAAAACCCATAAAAACCTTATCACTAGTTTGTAAAATTATCAAGACCAAAAACAAACCAAAGAAATCATAACTGGGGAAAAAAGCCCTCAACCCTCACAGACTTTAAAAGAATCCTCCTGCCTCCCATTCCTGCAAGGACCTTCCCAGCTCCCCCCAGCTGTTGCCACCAAGATCTGGGAGAAGAGGCACATTTAGAGCTCGTGTTTCAATCAAGGAGTGCTGGCACTGATTACCTGCTTGCTGTTACATTTCTGCGTGCCTTGGAGGTGCTTGACATGGTAAAGAAGAACTGCTAGCACCACTTTGTGGCCAAATAATTTTCAACATATCTCAGCAATTTTCTGGGACAAACTTTACAAACTTTGAATTATTTTTTGCTCTTTCTGCTTGTTGATTTTATCAGCTCACTGTTAAATACACTGCTACAGCCATTCACTGAGCTTCCCAAAAGACACAGTATATGGTAATGGTCATAGCAGCTCACAGCCCCTTGTGGTTTTATTAGTGCCCACCACTTCTTTTGAAATTTGATTATAATATAATATGACTATATTAGTAGTTATACTGCAATGTAGTTCTTGAAGGGGAAAGCCTTTCAAATATTCATGAAGACTAAATTATCAATGTGCTGATGTATGCAATGAACAGGCAGGTTCAGGGCTCAGAAAAAATCAGTTGTGGATATTTTTGCATATGAGAGAATAAGCTAATTTATCACACATTCTGGAAGAAATGCTTTTATGTTTAACTTACTTATGTTTTAATTGCTGCTTTATCTAATATGTGGATCATAATCTGAAGTCAAATAAATGTGTTTCAAAGCTTAAGCGTAGAACATTACAGTGAAAAAAACTTTTATACAGCTTCTGAGGTTTTAATTCAAAGTTCAAATGTTTTATTGTATGGACAAGAAAATCAATTTATCCCACAATAATTGTTTAATAACAAGGTAAATTTTTAGGTATTTATTTCCACATTTTTTCTCCCAGATTTGTGCTGAATATTTTAAAATAAAAAAATTGTCAAGATTTTTAATTAAAGCTACAGTATTTTTAATTCATCAGTTTTAACACTCCTGAAAAATACCTGTTTAATCAAAGAACCTAGAAAGGACTCATTTTCCTTGCCAAATGGAATAGTAAAAGCGAGTTTTTAAGACTTACTTAGTGTGAGGAAAACAATAGTGACAAGAGCTAAGGAGGCACATTCAACGTGTCTTTAATGTGTCAGAGCAATTCACAAGCATCTCCCGGTAAATTGAAAAGTCAATGAAGGAGTAGGCTGTGTGTGCCTTTCAAGGAAAATGAGTAGGAAATATGTTAGTGCTGACTGGCAGACTTATGAATTTAACATGTTGGGGTCTGAAGAACAGAAGAACCTAACTAAGATTTTTCCACGGAGTTTTTATGTCCTGTTGATGGAAAGCCCAGTCTTTTTATGTATAGAAACATTTCCTTATAAATAGAAAGCTGAAAATGAAGCTGTCACTAGCTGTTTTATAGAAAATTCAACCGACTGAGGAATGTTTAAACAAGATAGCAAATGAGTCTAACCAAATTTAATACCCTCAGAAAGTGTGAAAAGTTGTAATAATTGTGGAATGTTTTAAAATATAAATTATTATAATAAATTGGGATTTTGAGCTTGTGTGAAAACTTAGAGATGAGCCTTGCCTCAATATAAACAAGGCAAAGTTTAATATCTGATTTTAGATCACCTAAAAGCTGCTGTTGGGCATCTTGTACCAAAGAAATTTATGAATTTTGTAACAATGAAATACTCTTACATGGAATAATTGCACTGTAAGTTGATTCATTTTCTTATTATAAGTCTTGCCTGCTATAATTATAATTTAAACATATAATACACTGGAACAATTCAGAACTTCTGTTTTTCCATATTTGCTTCTAAGCTAAATATGGACAATTTTCTTTCCACTTGTTAAAATGTTACATGTGCGTTTTCATTCTTGCATAAAATATTATTTTTTAATTATGATACAAATAAAAATAATAGCAAAATGAGGATTCACATATTCAGCTGCACTTTTCTTGCCATTTTTGTGGTAAATTATTATTAATCCCAGTTCAAAGTGCCTAACTTCAGGCTTGTTTTCTAATTACCATGAATATCGATATGTTTAAATGTAAGTAAAATTACTTACATTTAAAATTATCATTAAAATCTGACCATGCAATTCATACCAGTCATTCCAGGAAGATGACAATTGGAAGATGACAGTGTTGCAGCGCTGATATAATTGGAAATCAAGTCACTTCAGCTGTGTCTACAGGGACACCTCCTTACTATTGTTTCCCCCCAAGATAAATTTGTCAGGTAAAAAGTAACAAATACAGCACAGCAGACTGTGATTTATTATGCCTAAAATCCTCATTCTTGCTTAATATTGCTTAGGATAGAGAGACAAAAGATTTTATGAGAGGGGAACTGTGCATTAATAATAGAGTGCAAAGTTTCACTTAATTAAAAGTACAGGTTGAAGATTATTGCATCCAGATGTCTGTAATGGTCATTATTTTAATTTGAAAAAGAAGTTTTAAAAATTAGAAAGATTTTGCTACAGCTGTTTATCAGAAATAGATACAGTGAAAAGAAAACTTGCTTTTCTTGTTCTCACAATCCATCTCTCTTGATTTCAGTAGGAAGCTGAGAGTATCCAAGTCGAGACATTTAGGGGATTTTTTGGAGTATTTTCTTGAGAAAATGAGCAATTTCTTTGCAGAATATTCTCAACCAGCAGTATTTTAAGAAGCATAGAAGGAAATACAGTGGGCTGGATTTGGCCTTCAGATGCTTATCTTGGGAAGAGATGAACTTTGAATTTTAAAAATATCTGAGAAAGCTTTTCCTCCACATTCCCTTGTGGAAGGAAAGAAGAGTTAAAATGAGTGAGACAAATTTGCATTTTTTTTAGGCACACAGTGCAGGTATATTGAAGCACAACCAGAAACACAAAAATAAAACAAAGATAGGTTTGTTGAAATATATGAAATTAATCTTCTTACTAAAGCCCTTAAAATCTGATTGAAACATTTTAAGGTTATTGAATTTTTTTTATGGTAACACTTTTTTAGAATTGGTAATACTATAAAGTTAACTTTAACTAAAAGTTAAAGGCAAAAGTAGATTTAATATTAAAAAAGTGATAAAAAGCAATAATTTAGTTCTACAGCTTTTTACTGTTGCTTCGTCTTTCCATGGCAGAAAGGTGGGAGTATTCACCACAGTAGAGAAATAACATTCCAAAAGCTGATTTATATTTGGGTCACTACAGTAGAAGCACAAGTCAGTTCAGTGTAAATAATTGAAAAAAGAAAGAGGAGTTAAATAGGCAATCAGTTATAATTAACTTAATGTGCTTCCAAATGTTGCAATGTAGACCAAAAACCTATATACAAACTTGTACTGATTCAGCAGAATCCATTTTAAAGCACTTTATTCTTAAAGTACCTGGCTCAATTGTCAGAAATGTTTCCGACTCTATGGCTTGGAATTCTTAAGTGTAATCTTCCTTTTTTTCCTTCTGTCACTGCCACTAGAAAGGTTCATGATCAGATAAGATAGAGATATTTTTTGAGTGAACTTAAGATTTTTTTGTAGGAAATCAGGGAAACTGCAATGGAGAATGCCAAGGATGATGGCACAACCTGCTGTAAGGGAGGGTCATTTGATTGAAGGGATTACCAGATATCTCTTAGCAGAAATTCTGTCACTGCAAGCAGCTATTGTCTAGGCAATATTTTAATTTGTTCTTGATTAAACAGGTGGGCTGAAGGGCTGTTTGCCATAAGAGTGTGGTCTTACCAGGAGATTTCTTGTCTTTCTTCTCCCAACAATTTTTCCCAGCAGACACCTTAGTAACTGTCAAACTGTGTCAAAAATGTAGAATGCCACTGCTGGAAACTCCTATCACTAAAACCATTATTTGCTGGGAAGCCCCTCCTAGTAAAAATACTGTTTTAAGTAATGATAGCTTTCACGCCTATAAAAATACACATTTTCCAATGCTTATATTATTACCATGTCAGTATATTATTTTTCTATGTGTAGTTGACTATAGTGGAATTTTCCCCACTAGGAATGGAATTACACTGTGGAACAATTGGAAGGTGAAGCATTTAGGATCTTGCTTTCAGAGGACTGTACAGAAAAAGAACACCTAAAACTTGCAAATCAGAAAATCTGTCTGTTGCAAGAAGAAGTGTGCTTCCACATGGAAGAAAGGAAAGCCCTGCTGCAAGAGGCCAATGACTTCTTTCATGCTGCTGGCAAGGTAAGTAAGAAGCCAAGTGTGTTATAATAACTTGACAATGAAACTATTAGTGTGCTCTTGAAGGCTGGTGGATGTGGGATTATGCAAACAGTAGGCTAAGCAAATTGAAGTGAAAAAATTCAAATCCAATTACCTTTTTCATATGACTTTTTGCCTCAAACTTATATCCAAAATGGCATATCCATTCAAAAATATATTCTCTTTTTTATTTCCTTTAAGTATATTCAGTGCTTGGTTTGGAAATAAGGTATTAGGGAATTTTTTTTTTTGCCAAGAATTGGGCTTTAAGGTTGTTTTCTGGGAGCACCAGAAACAATCCCTATACTTGCAGTGGTCTCCACAGGACCCAATTATAATCAGTATTATTAATAATGAAATCTTTTTTTCCAAAAATCCTTCTGTTAGAAGACTATTTAGAAAAGTTTATATTTTAGACTGTCCAAAGACCAAATGGTCTTGTATTTTTTTCAGGTATGTTTTTTTAAAAATCATTTATAGAGGTCTAAAAACCAGATAATTTCCAATTATGGTTTCAACAGAAATATAGATATGTTTTAACATATGTTTCTCTTTTTTTCCTTCAGGTACTTGATGGTCTTGAAAGTATTGAGAATTACCATAAAATCTCTATTTCTGAAGGCTTACATTTACCTGTATTGACACTGAAGTACAAGGAATTGCAGGAAGCAATTAAAGGTTGTACAGCAACTACCATGCAGAAGGGGCAAACTTTAGTTAATAAAGCAGATTCTCACAGGTATTAACATAAGTGTCTTATGGAAGTAAATTTATGAAAAAAAATATTTTGAAAATGTTAATTTTACAAAAATTCTTATGATTAATATAAATTTAAGTAGGAAATAACTTGATGTGTGGGGAGAGGGGGTTACTATCAAAATTTCAGTTCTTAATTGTATGAGGTAACTTCTTTACAATCTAAAGTGGAATGCCTCAAGTATTCATGTTCTGAATTTCTTCCCTGATATTATGGTTTAAGTTATAATGCAAGCCACTGTTTTGTAAATTGGTGGGGATTTTTCTCCCATTAAAATAACATCCTTAAGGAGAGGTTGACTTAGAATGTATATGGCATTCTTTTTATCAGCTACTGTAAAAACACTAAAATATTTTGGAATCCAAAGAAAACATTTTTTCAAATAGAACTGGTATGCCATATATTTTCCCTTTTAAGCTCTTCCATTTGTCATTTTAGTTTTTAGATAGTATAGCTAGAGTGAAAAGGGAAATGAGTTATTTGTCAGTGAATCAGGCTATGTGTCTCGTGAGAATTAATATATCTGTCTTGTGTATCAACCTTAGGCACTGGTGACAAATTATTTGTTTGGAAATTTCATTCCTGTGTTTTGCTAATTATCAATTTAATTTGAATTAATTTTAATATTTTTCTTGCTTATTATTCTTTTAAGGGTGACAGTTTAAAAATTATAAGTTACTCATCATACAAATCAACAGAATGAGTATTGTTTTTTTTAAATCATAATCATCCTCGATGTTAAGCAAAAAAAGAGAAATAAATGAGAGTTCTACTTTTCTATTTTAGCTCTTGGGTGGCAGGAATTCAGAAAATGATGGAATATATTCAAAAAAAAGTAGATCAATTAAACAGCCAGTGTCCAGATTATGAAGAATTTACTTTGAAGAAACAACAATGGACTGCTTCGCTTGAAGATCATCTGAGTAAGGTACATCATAGATTCATAGAATGGTTTAGGTTGAGAAGGACCTTAAAGAACATCTCATTCCAACCCCTCTGCTATGGGCAAGGACACTTCCACTCAACCTTGTGGCTCAAAGCCCCATCCAGCCCGGCCTTGGATGCTCCTGGGGACAGGGCAGCCACAGCTTCTCTGGGCAGCCTGTGCCAGTGTCTTACCACCCTCCTAGTGAAGAATTTCTCCTGTGTATCTAATCTAGACCTACCTGGTTTCAGTTTGAAGCCATTGTCCCTTGTTCTGTCACTCTAAGTCACCCCTGAGCTTTCTTATAGGCCCCTTTAGTTACTGCAAGGGTCTCCTACAAAGTCTCCTGCCCTCCAGGCTGAACAACTGCAGCTCTCTCAGCCTGTCACCATAGACGTGCTCCAGCATTCTGATCATCTTGTGATGGCTATTGTCATCACTGTAGCACATCTTCTTAGTGCATTCATGAACAGTGCATTGTATTTCCATAATTTAGCTATAGTGAATATTGAAGTTGAATCAAATAATATTAAGTTTTTTAGAGAGAGCACAGTTATAGTTAGAATGCTGAATGCTCTTATCAACACAAAGAAACCAAAAGCTGTTCTGAAAAACTGAGCCATTTCCACAAGCACATTTTACTAGTGATGTTCAATTAAGCATGAATTTGCTTGGATAATGAACTATTATAATTTGTTCTTTCAGAAAAGTGAGCAATCAGTCCTGTGACCCATAAGCAGGTTTCTTATACTGCTTCTGTCTTCTGTTTTATGTGGCTGAAGATAAAAATTAAAGTGTGGCAAGAATTGAGGTTTAATAAGCACAGTGACTGAATCACAGCAAATTTTCAATAAATGTGAAGCAGACTAGATTCTATTCACTATAAAAAATTCCTTTTGTTAATTAAGGTATTGATGCATCAAGGACATAACCTTCTTTAAATGGTTGAATGTCATATAGTACTACAGACCTTCTAAATGACTTATTAAAAATGGAATAGACAAATAGCTCCTAAATAAGTTTCCATGTGTAAATTCAAATTTTAAAAAGTATAGTCTTTTAGCATAGATGAGAAAAGTAAGTAAAATTTAATGGCTGAATAATTAAGTCTGCAATCTGATATTTTGTATTTGCATGATGTTTATAATGAACCATTATCAATCAAATGTGAATTTAATTTGCTACAAATTGGCCATTTTCCATACCATTTATGTTTATAGAAATGATGTCACTATTGTGTTGTGAATTTTAACTTAAAAGTTAAATTATGAAGGCAACTTTTACTTAAAATATAAACCTTAATTTGAACATAAGGTTTCAATGTGCCATTTGTTCCAATGAACTTGTTCCCAGCCTTGCATTAGAGAACATTGTGCCATAACACGACTGTCATTGCAGTAAAGAGTGCTTACTGCTATACTGTTACTGAGCAATACACTTTTAATCCCAGCTCTCTAAAGCAAAGTATCCAAAGGATACAAATTCAATTGCCCCTCAGCCTCATATAATAAAGTTTGAACCTCAACTGGCAGCCAGTTCTTAAGAAAAATATTAGATGTAAATTCACATGTCTAATAATAACTATGTGTTTTGTGTCTGGTGTCATCTGCCTGTGCTCTTCATAATCTGTTTTGTTATTATAGTGCATACATAATATCTTAGTGACAGTGGAAGGGAATTCTGTACATGTATCTGCACAAAAATAGGTCTCTTGCTCTGTCAGAGAAGCTTTAAATGTGCTTTTTGATTCTGGAACAGAATCAAAATATTTCTGCCAGGGCTATAATAGCAAGATTATAGTGCAGTTGTGCCACATTGAAATCACAAGCCTCAGATATTTAGGGTAAAGGAAAGAACTGTCAATAGAATGAGAGCAAACAAGAACCAGTTTTGATCATGGCTGTTGAAGAAATAGTAGAGCTGTCTTCTTTTATGTAATTCCCATATTTCTCTGAGTATACATGATATAAAAGCACAAGTTTTACCTTTTCTTCATTTCTTCTCTCCATCCCACCATTTGGAGTGTGTGAGCAGCTGTGTGGTACAGCTGTCATTTGGGTTTAAACCACGACATTATGCCCAGAAACATAATCTATACACCAACAGAGAAGTGTTGCCTTATTTTTTTCTATAAAAAGTGGTATTTTATACTGGTTTATGATGTCTACTTATATAAATTAACCATGTGAATAATACTTTCAAATAAAGGTGTCGCAATCAATTAAAAAACTTGCCCCGATGCTCGCAGTTGGGATGGAGATTGGTTCGTATTTGTGTGAGTCAGAAAGAGTTTTGAACAAGCACCTTGAACTGGCTAAACAAACAAAGGTAAAAAACCTTTAAATAATGTTGAGTGCTTTTAGAAACAAATGTTTCCTATATGCAATTCTAAATAGGGTCAGAGTCTGAGAGTTTCTTGTAAAGAAAATAGATCTGTAGTTTGTTTTAAAACTGTAATTAATGAACAAAACCACAGATAACTTTACAGTCATTAAATCACTGTTTTTCTCCACTGTCTCTATCTCACTGTGTTATTTGTTACTGCCTCAGGATCCTTGTACCAATTCTTGATAGGAAGACTCTTCAAATGTGGATTGCTACTCCTCCATGAGGCACCAGGTTTAATAATTGTCTAGACAGCCAGAGTCAGAGAAAAACCTTCTTGTGGTTTATTGTGCCAAATATAAGGGATGAATTGGCAAAAAAAGAAGTAGTTCCCATTTAGAGTAAAAAAGAAGTAGTTCCCTATCATTTTTAGGAAAGAAATAGATATTTCTGTGATTTAGTCTCCATTGTGAGCTCTTCTTCAAACAAGTAATAAAATTATACATAAAAAAGCAATCCTAATGAAAATTAATAATGTGATATCAATAGTCACAAGTCTTTTCCAGTCATTATACAATTTTTTTTCTATGCTTGTACCTTCAAAGGAAACTTCATGTGAACTGAGAGCAGCTGAGGGAATCATCAAAAATATGGAAGAGTTGGAACCTGAGCAGGTGGCGGCTTTTTCTAGCAGAGCTGCCTTTCTGAATAGAGAGCTGAAAAAAATGGAAAAAAATATTAGTTCAAAGCTAGAAATTCTGGAAACTTATGTGGCCTTTTTACAATCAGCTGTAGAGGTATGGATTACTTATTTATTCTCTGACTAGACTGTAAAAATCTTATAATTGAAAAATTTGCATCCATTGTAGGAAGGATTGTAATTTATTTAGATTTTTCTCCTCTCCACATGTGCAGTCTCACTTATACATGATAAAAAGAGCTTCCTTATAGGTATTCTGAATATTAAATTTACTGATTTGCTCCATATAACTTTTAAAAATGTCCTATGATATGTTCATAGGAATCTTTGTTGCTGTCTTACACTATTTCCACTGGCAAGCTAATTCATATGATTGTATTTAAAAATGTGATGAAAACCAGCTCTAGTTCAAATCACAATCAATTCAATACCAACATAATTTTGGGAGCTAATGGTATCAGGATGCTTAATTTTCATTTTGATTTGGATTCCATTTTAAGATTCTATAATATGTTAGCTGTTCGTTAATTTTTAGAAAAAAATTGAGGATGGAATGGGACCTATCTGATAAAATTAGCCATATTTATTTTTTTATTGCATTATAAACTACAAAAAATATTGTATTACGTCTACTTCTGATTATTGTTAACTTCAGTTACTTCACATTAAGCAGCTCAGTGAAAACCAGTGCATTGATATACTGGTACGTAAAATCCATGTAAGGATATGTGACAGAAATTGAGTTAATTGTTGCCACCTGTCTGCTTGCCGTCTACCAGTGGGAAAGTTATTTAAAACTATTTTATTATTTGGTGTTTGTAAATATTTTAGGGACTCATAGATCTTACGAGAAGATTCAGAGGGTGCTATTCAAATTTATCATATCTCTATAACTTCTGATCATAGCACCTAGTTTGATTTTTTAAAATGTTTATTTAATGTCTTTCTATAGGTGAATGATGATATTAAAAATCTGAAGGAATTCTATAATTCAAAACCCCTATCAACAAACAGAGGGACTGAAAGTAAAATTGCAATAGAGTCAGCTAATACTCAGTGGCAACAGACCATAAAGAAGACTTTTTCCACCCAAAATTTGGGTTGCTATTTTCTTAATCTAGTAAATGTGGTGAGTATGATCTGATAAACCATACTGAATATTTTATACTTGCCTGTGATGAGGTCCAATCCTAGTTCTATGCCTGATGGATTGTGTACCTAGTTTTAAAGGGGCTAATGCTGATATATACTTTCAGAAGAAGAAAGTATTTGAGTGCTTATGGTAATGTAAAAAGTTTTGTTGTTAGCAATGACATAGCCCTTATGGACACAGTCCATGTATACAAATGTAATGCATTCTCATATCTGTTTTTTTCATGTTGGAAAGCAGCATATACACAAGTAAAATATTAAATTTATTTTACTTCCACTAAGAGGCAGGGAGTCTTTACCAACTGATTGTATGGATTTTTCTAAAGAAATGGATGTTAGAGTTACTTCCTTGCAGACAATCTTTCCCAGTGTCTTTACATTCTGTCCAACAGCTACACTGCCTAGGCATCCCTGTGTAATTTTCCAACAACACTTCATGAGGTGCTGGTTTGAGATGTGCAATCATTCCCTAAGCTACACCTCCTAAAGTAATCCAAATTAATGAGGTCAGCCTGAATACCTAGCTGTTCTTTCTGTTTTTATACGACACACTAGGGAGCAGTTAGACATTAAGCTGGGAAGGGGGAGGTGGTGTTGGTAAACTAGAGCAGGATGCAAGGTGAATTGGAAAAAGCAGCTGAGGGAGGGAAGGTGCTCAGGCTGTTAGTGTGGCTGCAGGGTGTGTGTCCCGGCTGGATGCAGCCAAGCAAAGGTAAGACAGTCAGAGTAATGGCAAAGTCACTTAAAATCTTGACACATCTTCAGACATTACCCCCCTAACAACCTGGATATATGTTGTCACTGTATTTTCTACTACTCTGTTCCCATGATACTCACTGACTATGGCTTTTAAATATCTGGAAGATACGGATCATACTAGTAATTTACAGCTTCTCTTAGAAAAAAAAGTCATCAAATGAGAAAACCAGAAATGACATTACCCAGTTTGCTGGTATTTCTCATAGCGGTTGTACTGAAAAGAGGAAAAAATACCAAATATTCAAATACTAAAATATTCAAATACTAAGCACTTTAGCCCTCCTATGCTTCAGTGCTGCTTTGTTTATAACACAAAGGGGTGGTCTTTTCTTCATCTACTTTCTTTTCCAGTTGCTATTTATTCTCCAAAAGACCATTTTGGGTAGTTCTGTTTAGTCAGAAATTCTTTTATTTTGTCTGAGTGTGAAACAGACATCAGATAGCTGTAATTCAGTCATTATTGAATTATGTTCTGTGTTTTAAACACCAGCTTTGTATGTCCTCAGTTTGCAAACTCTGTCAATCTGTGCCTATTTCTAGACAATATTAAGGGAAAACTGTATTCAAAAGAATAAAATTTTCTATGAAAGTTACATTAGAATAGTTGAGGTTTTATTAAGCTTTATTTAAAATTATGAAGTTTTAATTGTATGTTATAAAAATATGTGTGGAAAAAAAATGTGTCTGTTTATTTGCCAGGTAAATGAGAGTTTAATATTAGAAGTAGAAAAATCGATAAAAGTAACAGAAGATATCATTATTAATCTGAATAAAGAAAGGAAAGAGCTGACTGATCTTTGGGCAATCTGGAATTTTAAAATTACTCAAGTAAAACCCATCAAGCAACAGTGCCAGATATTTAAAGAACAACTAAAAATCGTAAGTAAAATAGCTAGGAAGAAAGCAACTGTGGCAAATATTTATAGATTGTTATTGGCTTTTCTGTGTCTCTCTCATTAACTATTATTTAAGAGTGATGATCAGTAAGATATGATTCTTGTCCATATTCTGTTCTCTGTTCTGTCAGTTAGTCATCAGGAACCATGAAATTCTTTTGATCTTTTTTTTGCCTTACTCAAATGCACACAAGTCCAAGTCTCCACTTCAAATTCTAAGTTTTAATGAAGCTTAATGCTTTACCAGCAGTGATTTTTTTTATGCTTTTTAAAAGCACCATTTTTTTGAAGACTGAACAGTTGCTGAATTAAGCTGTGTACTAATAGTTACTAAACTGAAATCCAATGGCTCATGAAGAAGGAGGATTGAAACCTTCTTGGCACAGGGAGAGTGTGCAGCATTCTTTAAAAGAAGCACTAGGTGGGCTAGTAGCAGAAGCAGAAACAGCAGCTGCTGTATCTCTGCTGCCACTCAGTAGTACAGCAGCACATCTGCTATCACAGAAATCATGTGTCTGTGGTCCTGCAGTCCTGGCCTCTGAGTGGCTTTTTCATGCTGTCTCAAAGATATCTTATCACCCTCGTCACTCAGAAGGTTTGTGACAGGCTTTACTGACAGCATTTAGGTGCCTGGTTTGAGGAAGTTTTTGTTACAAATTTAGCTTTGACTTTAAATTTGTTGTTTTTTTTTTTTTTTTAATTTATTGCAGTTAGAAATGCTGAACTTTTTGATTCTCTTTTAGACTACCCATGGATTAGAGATTCTTCAAGAGGCCCTCCAGCTTGCAGTACCAGTTGACCTTGGAAGTGACCTTTTAATTGTTTTGGAACTCCAGAAAAAGCTGAACCAAATGAAACCACACTATGAGGTGAGAAACCAAGCTAGTGGAGTGAAGGGTACATCAAAATCTCTTTTTGGTCCCGTAAAGATCCACACCCTCACTGATGCCAGACACACTCTCTCTGGGATTGAAGTGTTTTATGTTTCACAACAGCTTTCCAAGAGGAAGTGTTTGTGTGTTTATAAGGTAGAGGTGAAGAGATTTTTCCTTCAGTGTCCAGAAAATGTCTTGTGCTGTGTTAGCTGTGTATTCAAGGGACAAGAACTGTGGTGGTGGAAGTACAAGGAGAGCATCAACTTTTGAATTTAGAGCAGGTCAGAGGCTGAGGTACATCATAGTGGCTTTTCTGCCTCCTGTGAATATTGTCTCTGAGTTTGAGCAATTCACTCTTCCATTGCCCTTTAATTATGTTTGACTAGTTTTTATGCAAGGCTGGGTGATAGCTGAGATTTGTGCATATCAGAAAGTACAGAATGTAGTGTTTTAAAGTGCAGGGCATTGACTTCTCCCCAAGGCAATTTACCATTGTCACGTGGTTATTTCATCAAATGTAAAGGAAAAATTGCAATGTTTGTGCAAATTGAGTAACTTCTCTGATTTTTGTTAGCAACTGAATGCTGAGCTTGAGTACCTAACAAAATTACTGGAATTACCAAGCCAGAAAGGATTTCCTGTGAAAGAGAATACTGAGAGAATAAGTGAGCTTATTCATTTCCATCAAACAGTAAAGGATGCAATGATAGAATATGATGAGATTTTCAGCAAGACAGTCAAATTCCATCACATTAAAAAAGAAGTGAGTATAACATTTTAAAATTTCCATTGTAGTTTTGGTTTTGGTTCCTGTTGTATTTTTTTCCTTTTCACCAGAGAAATAAGATTAATCAGCCTGGTGATCACAATTAAAATCTTGGATCTAAAACTGCATGATCTGAAACTCAGATCTGAAACAAATTTTAATTACTTAAACTCAATGGTATGGAAAAAAAAGTTATTTTTAACAGACACTTATTTTTGGTTTTTGTATATTTCAGCTGGAATGTCTATCAAAATTAGGAGAACTGGATATTCCTGAAATATATGGGGACCCTGAAAATGTGCACCAGGCCAAAGCCTACCTTGTGAACTCTCAGGAGAAACATGCACATATTAGACAGCTATATACTCTACTTATTACCCAGGGAGTAGATATCTTGTCTGCAGTGCAGCAACCTGTGAGTATAAGTAAAATTATTTATGAAATCAAGGATAAATTTGAAAGATTATTGGACTTATCTGGCTGAATTTTAGATGTGCAAATATGTATTACTACTCTGAGAAAAATACAGAGAGAGCCTTAAGGAAATTAATTTTAAAATATCATTGCTTGGAAAAAACTGCAAGCCATAATTTACTTTAGTTTTGTGAAGCACAAGGCCCTGATGGCGATTCCTTGAATCTCTACATTACAATCCTGCTATTTTGACAAGATTGCTTTGCAGATTTGTTCTTCTATAAAGAAAGAATAATGTAAGAACAAAAGAGAAAATGTAGTAACAGTGCTACCTTATCAGTGGGTTCAAGACTGATTCGCATGAAAGGATGGATATAGTTTTAGAAAGGAATTATTTATTCAGGGAAGAATTTTCATTATTCATTCGCTTACTAAGAAAGCAAGGCTTTCCTTATGAGTTGGCTAGATCCTTCATATTGACAGTCTGCTCTTCAGACACCATAAAGTGATGGGTGACTGAAAGGAGCTGTTCTCCAGCTGGCAGAGGACTGGAGTAAGTCACTCCCTCTTTGCTCAGAGAAGACACCATGTTTAGGTTGTGACTTTGACCCAAAACCACCCCCCATGCTACCAGTGACTGAAACCACTCTGTCCTTGCTCTCCTTCCAGTGGAAAGCTAGTTTACTCTAGCCCATTGTGGCTGGCTGTGCACCTTCTGCCTCAATGATTTTCATTTTGGATTGGTTAAATCAATACATTTCCTGAGACTGATTAATTTGTTTCTTTCCTCATTAGAATTGCTTGAATGTTTCTGTAAAGAATCTGAAGCAAGAACTTGCTAGATTTGAATGTGATAGCATAAACTGGAGCTCCAGAGCTGATAAGTATGAGGAAGAGCTGTCACAGTATTTCCAACACTGCACCACTCAAGAGGATATAAATGAGGTAAATGAGATGAATCCCAACTCATTGCATGACTGTTAAAAGAGCTGGTGTGTTCTATAATATATATTACTGTTTACCATTCCCCTAAATGCTTCATATATATACAGAAAAACAGACTTTGATTTTAGCAGCAACCTTGGATCAACGCAGCAGCAACACTAATCTATGTTTCATGGCACTGCTGTTCAGGATTCTATCAAGCTGTTGGGCTGGCAATAAAATGCTTTCACTGTACCAAGAGGACTGGAAATAGAACAGCTATATTTTCTTTGGCTTTCAGCTCAGTCAGCTTCATCTGAAACATGAGTCTTCATAATTTTTTCTTATGAAGCTAAAGTTTCAAACAAAAGTAGAATTTGTACATATTGTGGTTGTCAGGACATTGTAAAGAACTTTTAGTATTTCAATGAAATGTTCAGAATAATTTAGTACTAATATTTTTTCAGAAACAAAAGACATACTTGAAAAACTGCTAGGAGGAAATAAAATGTTCATGAGCACAAGAGATTAGAATAAGCATTATGGAACTTAGGTCAGGAATAATTACTCAGGTAATATGACTATCAGTGTAACATCTTGGTAGGCCAAATACAAATGAATTCACAAATCAGAAAGCTACATTCATTAGATGTTTCTAAAAAAATTAATTTAGGAAAAACATTTCAAAGAACTACCTTTCCCAGACTGATACATTAAAGTAAGAGGCTGATGGCATCTGTACTTGATGTTCTGTAGATTGTACTCCTCTGCATCTGTGAAGAACAGAAGGTGGATTTTGAAATGGAATGATTTTCACATTAATATTCCCTGTAGCATGAAGCATATGTAAAAAAAATACAGGACACTGAAAGTTATATATTCTTATCTTTAGCTTTTGCTAAGTAAATCCACACCTATGTAAAGACAGACTGTATTTTCTGAAATCACTAAAGAAGAGGTGACTGAGACTTTTTTCCCAACTCTTTAATGAGAAAATTATTGTTTGGCTTTTTTTTTTTTTTTGTTGGTTTTTTTTTTTTTTTTTTTTTTTTTTTTTTTTTTTTTTTTTTTTTTTTTTTTTTTTGTGTTGCTCACACAGCAATCAAAGCATTTACTGAAATGGTACTGTTAACAAAAAATGTTTAGAGCATTTTTTAACTTGTTTTTTCCATTTATTTTTTGTGGTCCTGTGATAAAATTAAACAATTGGTACTTAAACCCCTCTCCTCCACTATCATTCTCCACCTGTGACAGGGCAACTATAGTTAGAACAGCTGCCTGATTAAAGACTATGACACAATAGACAAGGTACAAAGTCCCATTAAAACAGTGGGCTGAAGTCACTGAAGCATATTTGGATGCACAGCCCCTTCAGTATTTTTCATTTAATCTTAAAAAACTCAGATATGTTTAGATTTCTAAAAATTGTAAGCCACACATTGTTCTTGGTACAACTGCTGATGATAACAGGAGCTGTGCAAATGCAGTCTGATGCACAAGTCAGAGCTGAATCTGGTTTTTCCACTGAGGCTAAAAGAGAAGAGTGACAGCAGCTGCAGACCTTTCACACAGAAGCCATCATATCTGAAACAAGGCGATCTAATTTCACATACTGCTATGAGGAGAGCCTCTGGCCTTATAAATTATCACTGCTAGTCTGTATGTGCACAGGCCAGTGAAATAAACTCTTGTTCATCTTTTCTTTCCCACAAACTTGAAGCAGCAAATAAGACTCTTGATTTCTGAATAAAAAAATATTGTTCTGCAGAAGTGATTATATTAACAGAGGGCTTTTAGATAGACTTTATTATTCTGTGTACTTAGGCGGGATAAAGAGCTTAAAGTAATTGGAGATCACAGGGGCAGTGATAGAATTCCCTTCCTTTCCATTACACTGACTGAGCACCATCTGTTTATTCACTGCTGAAATAATGTGGCAACATCCCACTAGATGAAATGAAAAATATATCCCTTGATGGATTAACATTAGTATAATAATAATGATGGATTGTTAGCTGTTCCAATAACAGTGGCTGCAAAATAAGCCTTCTTTACTCCCTGGATTCTTTGGCATGAAGGAGGAGGGGGTGGAGGGTGAAGTCTGTAGGATTTTTTAATATTAAAAAAGCCTCAAATACATATTTAGATATCCAATTGTAGATGTGGCCTGAACTTGTTAACACTAGTGAAGTAAGCTCTTTACATTTGTGTGTCTGGGATATTAGATCCTAAGGCATTAGAATTTCTCCATTTCTTTGTATCAGTGTCTTTAAATAAACATACTTTTACATAATTTATGTATTATTATTATTATACCTTATCCTAAAAGCAAAATATTATCTGCCTAAAGGATTTGAAATTCTTAAAATTAATATTTTGGTCATTTTTATATTCTTTTATTTCAAATTTTATCAATTAATTAATACTGATTGTAAGCAGGTTTTATACTTGTCTGATTCTTGTATCTCTTGCTTAAAGAAAGTAAAAAGTAACAGTAATATCTGAAAGGAGTTTTTAAAGTTGTAAATAAAATTGGAAGTTGCATAGCTATCAGAGAAAAAATATTAGGAAAACTATGCTTGAAAATATCATAGGCCTTTAGTAATGGTTTATCTAAATAGTTTTGTTATGCTGATTTATATAAAATTAATAATAAAAAAATGTCATGGTTTACTAAAGGCCTACTTGTATGACAATATTAAAGGAAATATAATTGCCACTTGAAAACAAAAGATAAAGAATATAGCAAGCCTATATTTTAACTAGTTCCTATGGTAAATAAACACTGGGTTTAAAATTCTGTTCGTCATATATGGCTCTTCTTTTTGATATGTATTAAATTCTTTCTGGTAAATTGGCAATGTATCTGATCCATATGTGTGTAAATGAAATTGCAGCTTTCTAGAGCTTCATCACTGTAGTTCCTATCATTCTGGCATTTCATAATATTTTCTATAGAATAAAGAAAATCTAGCTATATTCCATCTAATTAAAAAAAGAGTTTTAGAACAAATTTAATATAACTAGATTTAATAGGTAGCTGGTATGAGTTCATCTGAAAAGTCTTCAAAGGCATGGATACTTCATAATTGAACCTACTAGTTAATTTTAATTTATATAATTGTAAGAATAATTTCTGTAATGTTGGGCTTGTTGCAACAAGTCAGTGCTGCCTGGCAGAAGTATTCTCACACAGCACATCCAATAGTAGTTAGACAATTTCTCTATCTGTTGGGCAGGATACTCAGAGCACAGTTTGAAAGTCAGGCGACCATGCAGTCTGCATCTTCATCCTGCAAAGGGCTGTATTCCTCTTTGTGTGCTGTGAGTAAATGTACTAGAACGTTTGGACTTGCACAGTGTATGAAATTAAGCCCATATATAACTTCTTTTCAGCAGCAGGACTTTTGAAAAAGGGATGAGGAATGGGACAGTTACATGGTGACTATTTCAACTAAATGGACTAAAGTATGTGAAGAGCATCTACCTCTAGTTAAAAAAAATGGAAACTCCTGGAGAGGATTTTTTCATAGATTGTCTGTGCAATAATAATCTCATCTCTTGTTACAATACTTTTTTTTCCCTCGTTATTCTGGAAATATTCATTGCATTGTCATTCAAAATGCAAAAACATTGTTTTAGCAAGATTATGAGTATTATTACTGTAAAGAAATTCTGAGGAGCTAAGGATGCTTTATAAGATGGCATAGTATTACTAATTTCTCTGTTAAATTTTCAGTGTTTAAATAGTCCATTAAACAGCTCTTGAAACAAACCTAAATTGATGTGCACTGATTTCTTTTTTTTTTTACTAACAAATATATTTACACTGTTGCAGCTCAGAGAATCATTTAGAGATCTCAAAAAGAAATTCAACAATTTGAAGTTTAACTATATGAAGAAAACTGAAAAAGCTCGAAATATGAAAGTACTCAAAGTACAGATTCAGCAAGTTGATACATATGCAGAGAAGCTACAGGTAACAGAAAATCCAGGCTTACTAAAAGCTTCACCAGTTTAATTACTTGGCCTATGCCAAACACATCACAGGAAACTGGCACATCACAAAATTTATTGTGCACTTCCCTCTTACTTTTCTCATATTATCCTCCGTCTGTCATTGACTGAGACATTTTTCACTATTCTGTTCCTGTTATTCTGCCATTTAATTCAGTGAAATAATGCTAATCCAATTCCTGACTTTACTCCTTTAATCCATTATTTTTCTGTTTAATCTTTTATTTTTCTTGCCTCTATTGTGTGACCTAGTCTTTCTTCTCCTTAAAGAAACCCAAAAGAATCATGTCTTGCATCAAGCTACTCTCTTGTCTTTCTGATTTCATCATGTAAGTGATGAACTTTTTTCTTCAGAGCATTTGGCTGTATTCATTGCCTGGAGTTGATCATGTTCATTGGTACCTTAGAATCCTGTTAGCCTCACCCATGTTTTGTATTCACCAGAAACTGTTCCTTCAATGGCCTTTTTAGTTGCAAGTCTTGCATGACCATGTTTTATTACTGCAGGTATTTGTTTATTTTATGCTGAAAAAGTTAGCTCAATTATACCTTTAATAAATATAATTTATATAAATTTTAATCAGCTTTGCAGAGGCCCTCCAGTTTCCTTTGATTTTTGAAAGAGCAGCTTGTAATTTTTAAAACATAAGACAAGAAATACGTATGTATGGTTTTCCCCTGCTTTTTTATATTAAATTTCCAAAAATAGAAGCATTTTGTAGTGGTATTTAACATTGCTATATCTTTTAAACAGATTCTTAAAAAGAAGATGGATAATTTAGAGAAGAAAGTAATTGACCCTTTTGCAAATGAACCTAAAGCTAAAGTTCAAGTTCTCTTGGGCTCTATCAGTGACTTACAAAAACAGCTGAATGATTTTAACATGGTTGTGGAAGATTACAAGCAAAATCTGGATCTCATGGAGCATCTGCAGCAGATGATGAAAGAGGTACTAGTAAACCTGCCAGCCCCACTGTGGCTGTAATAACAATCCAGGACAGGGATGGATAAAAGTGCTTTAACTGCCTCAAGGTTAATCTGTACATTCCAAAAGTAATAAATTGATAAAATGGGTTTTTGTTTCTTTCTAAATTTGTGGTGAAAGGGAGAAATAAATGTTCAGTGTGATCATATTCATGCAAGTGGTGTCTCCGCCTCCATATGCCCATATGACTTCCACAGTCATTCAGCATTTTTTTGGTCATGCTTAGGAGCACATTTTCTCTGATTAAGCTCTGAGGCAACAGAAAGCACCACAAAGTCCTCTTTGGTGGCCGTCAAATTATGCGAGGCAGGTATCACAGTACCCACTATGGTTTATGAAATGATGGAACTGAAATATAAAACACTCAGTTCCTTAATAGAAGAATATGGGTTTTTTAGTAAACTAAATTTTTAAATATATCTATAATTTTTTTTCTGAACTGCAATCTTTCTTATTGGATACTTCCATAAGTCCATTTTAATGTGTCTGAGGACTGTCTCATGCATTGTTTTTTTTTAAAGAAAAAAGTTTGTGACAGTACTGTAAGAGTATTTTACTTGCTGTAAATATTTTTAGTCTTGCTGTATTGTGTTGTTGCTCTTGCCATGGGGCAAGCTCATTCTGGTCATCACTTTATTTTTAGAAATAACGTTGTTCTTATTTCCAAAGAGATCTAAGTACATGAAAAATTCCCTTAATAACGAATCACAATACTAAAGATTTTTAAGAAATATTTTCAATGTCCAGTGACCTGATCAGTGTGTTTTTACATATACCATTAGCAAAGCAATTTGTTAATATTTCTTGAATATTTACATTTTCAAACTCCCCACTTATTTAACAGAAATAAATTATCTCCTAAAGCTAAAATTTAAGACTGCTTTGTTTTGATTTGTTTTTTAACTTAGTGTAAAGTATCACCTTTTACTCAAAACTTTTCTTTCAGCAAATAGGCACAGTCTTAAATGCTGATTTCAACCATGACTAGAATTGGTGATTTTTAGCTGCTTTCTGTAATGATGCAATACTGATGGTTCTGAGTGAACACCAGATTGTGTTCTGTTCTGAGTATTGTTAACCAAAGATGTTTATTATGGGTATGTTCTAAAGCCCATTTTGTCACTAGTAAGATTCCTGATGACTTTAATGGTTGCTGAGACCAAAAACCCATCTGCTAGAATGTTAAATTTAAAGAACTCTTACGCCCTTACACAGCTATAACTGAGGCCATAACATGGCGTTTTTGAAATTAGCCGGTTAATATACAAGGTGGAAAGAAGACAGAAATAAAATATGTTTTTGCTGACCCATTAAATAGTAACTTCACCGTGATTGTAAGATGAGCATGGGCCTAGTATTAATGAAAATTTAACAGCTACTAATGCTTGAAGCACCATTAGTAATGAACAAATGTTTTTCAGGTTAAATGTGTCAGAATATTTAAGACATACTGTGTGCCACTGATTATGGAAAGTCTAAGAATAATCCAGTCTATTCTTCAACAGCTTGAACTGCAGACAGTAATTCATTATAATGCAGGTTTTTTAACCCTCAGTGTCAATTTTGGTTTGAAGATGTGAGCGCAACAGTGGTTAGAGTTGGCAACTACTCTGCAGAATGCAGAACAAGAGAAGCAATAGAGACTCTCTACAAGCAATTCAATAAGTTTATTGAACCTGCAGTGCCTGAACAAGAAGAAAAAATTCAGCAGATTATGGACCTTGCTAGACAGTTATATGGTGAGGTGATATGGTAATGTACTGTGGGGACAAAATGCAGTAACTTGGGATGGAAGTAAGCAGACTCCTAGATTTGTTCATTTAAGATGAAAATCCGATGAATTTTTAAAAATAAATGTTGTTTTAAAGTATTAATTGGAAGAGGTGAAGGATTTCAGAACAAGTATTTACAAAAAGTAAATATATCAAAGTACTCTTTCAGTCTGGTATTTACTTAGTTTTCTGTATACAGCCTGAGTTCACCTTGAAATCAAAATGTCCTAGCAATATTCATGAGCTTTGAGTTAAGATTTCATGGCTTAAGCTCTCTCATAACAGGCAAGCCTTTGAAGCCAGAGGATATTATAATGATATACCTAAATGATGAATTAATTTTTTTCATTATAACTGTAAATAACTGGTATGAGTTGATTGTCAAATGTTTATTCACAAATAATGTAGACTGCTACTTAGATACTGTATTTGCAATTTTTGCAATTGGATTGATTTGGAACATTGTTGACCAAAAAAATTGAAAGTCAAAAGGTTTTGTATTTTTTCTTTTTTTTCCCTACTTGTAATTTTTGTATACTTTTTAAAGTTAATTTTTCCAAAGATAATGTGACAAACCAAATGTACAGGGATTTTGTGTAGCCTATCAATTCAAGTAGTAAAGCTAAAAAAAATTCAGCAGTCAAACTGGGCTTTTAAATACTTTTTATTTTAGTGGAAAGATTATTTAGAGAGCACAGATAACTTTTTTTTTCTTTTTGCTTTTTTTTTTTTTAAGCCTTCTCAATATTTTAAACATTCCTATCTACAGGAAAGGAGATGACAGAACAGATTTTTGACAACAGCTTATTAGGAAGACCAGGAGAAAGAAGTTGCTTTGATGGCCTTTAAGTCATTACATTGGAAAACCCTTCTCCAGCCTTTGTTCTGTATTCTTATAACAGGGATCTAAGTGCCTCCTAGTTATAGAATGTAGCAATGAGTTTAGGGGACACTTTATGAGGTCAGCATCTTTTAAAGCAGTATTACTAACCAGACAGAAGACCTGCAGAAACTATGAGGATTCATCTCAAATAAGCTCGTATGAGCTGGGAAAGCACATTACTATGAATGACAGAATTCCTCCCGCAGAACAAAACACAGAAAAATGTGTTTATTGTAGTACCTTGGGGTAACAAATTACACGGATTGTTGCATGTCTGTTTGAAGCATTCTGCTTTACTTCTGTGTTGTTTTGCCTTTGTAGGTATTGAAGAAGGAAAGAAGTATGTAGAAAAAACTGTATTAAAGTATGAAGAAATCATGAATTCTGTTGATGGGTTGTGCAGATCTCTGAGAGAACTTAAGGAGATAAAGGTACTTTTTTAAAACTGGAGAATGTATTGCATCTACATCAATTTATTTTATTTGGTGTCTGAATCAGTGCTTCTAGTGAGGATCATCTGTGGTAGCATGAATTACTTAATTGTTCACTTTTCTGTTACTTTAGGTAATGATTGTAATGAATCAATGAAGCGCTACTTGTTGAACACTAAATATTTCTTCTGAGTTTCTTTTTCTTTGCCCCTTTCAAAACTGTTACTCCTTTCAAGAAACTTTTAGGAGAAAATGTTAAATTCTATTTGAGTATCTAGCAAATACTTTTTTTTTTCATACTTCTTCCTTTGATATTGTAATATACATAACTGCAGAGCTACCAAATACCAACCAACCTCACTTGGCTTCCTCTTGGAAAAGACATCCTGAAAAACAAGTAGTGTTATGGCCAAAGTAATTTGAGTTAGAAATGCCTTGGTTTTATATAAATATTTAAGAGAACAGTATTTTTAGTTTAATGTTCTGCTAAATGGCTGTAGGTGTAATTAAATGTAACATATTAACTGAGGAGGAATTATGGAAGCCCGGTGATGGGGTAGATAATTAAGACTCTGTCTACTCCACCCCCCTCCATTCTCAAAGTAATATCTGAAAAACCTTCTGCATGCAGCAGCAGCTCCTGTGAAGTGGGAAAATTAAGATGCTTAAATATCATGCTTTTGTTGGTACTGCATATTGTTTCACTTTTCTTTGATGGAATTATACTATAACATTGACAAATGCTGAAATTATCCATTAATGCACTTTAAAGGAGTAAGAGATGCCAAAAATATACATGAATTCCAAAGGTCATTAGGTGAATGGGAAGGCTTTGTCTTGCACTGTGACCATATAGAAACCTCAACATAAATACCGTTTCCCATCCCCATTAGTGTATTTCATAAACACTATTGTGTGCAGGACAGTAGTCCCAGGTTCTGTCAGAAGAGGGCTTGAACCTTCCATCTTTTCTACAGCAATGTTTTATGAGCTTTTCAGGACAAGTAGAATTTCAAACTAATTTTACTACCTAATTGTCCACAACTATTTTAAATTGATTTTTTTTTTTTTTTACATTATGTGATGTTCTAAGATTTAAAAACTAATATTCCTATTGAACATTTCCAGAATATATCAATTATCAATGTCTGTATCTTATGAAGAATAAATAATTCAGCAAATTGTCTGTGCCATCTGTATGGAATACCAGGACCATAAATTGAGTTTCACTTCCTGTTATTTTTAAAGCATGACAAATTAAGGGGAAATGTATTACATAATCTTTCCTAATTTTACATATATTTTGAAATCTGTGTAAGTCTTCCATGACAGTTTTGAAGGATTTATCAAGTCTTCTTAAAATACATTATGGTTGTCCAGATTTCTATTTCTATGTTTTATGCTTAGACCACATTCTTCCATTTCCACCATTAAAAAAAAAATTATTATAGATGCTCACAAATGTTTCTTTCCACCCTAGGACTGTTTTCCTGCAATCCTGATATTATTTCTGACATTGTTGTTTGTTGTCTTTTTTCATATAACAGTGTTACTTAATCCTTTATTCCCCCTTACTGAGCCTGTGTATAAATTAGTTCATATTCCTCAGATTCTTGATTAGCCACTAGAATTCTTCAGTCTTATACACTGAAGAATTATAGTCTTCTCTAGTTTCCCTGCCTTAGAAAAGATCCTGTCAGCTTCAAAAAATGTTGTCATTGTTTTTCCAAGAATAAATTTATTGGATTTTGCTGCATTTTTTTGCCATAAGCAATTTACACCTGTGCTGATGACAGATTTTCACTTCCATGCTTTCTCTGTTGTACAGAGCATAAATCAGTGTAGAGCTAAAAATTCCTACCTTCTAAAGTGTATAAACTTACTTAATTTTCTCTTCATGTGGCAGAAAGTTGATGTTTCTGAAGAGCTGATTACTGTTAAAATAGAAGAAAGACATGGTCAAGAAACATGTGAGATTGTTAAAGAAGTGAAGCAAAACCAGCAGGTTAGTTCAGTTAATTGTTTTTTTTAAAAAGTAGAACTCTTTCTTAAAAGACTCTATGCATTGCTAAAAAGGTTCTTGTTTTTCAGTCTTAAAGCCTTCATTTGGATGGGTGTTATCAGTGCAGTCTTGGTCAATTGTTTTTCAGTTATTTTCAGTTACCCCTTTCCCTTCTAACCAATCCATATATTCTCCCCTATGAATATTTATTTTTTAACATTTTTACATGCCTGTATATATCCCTTTCTTTTCTAAAAACTATTCCTTTTGTAACCTTTTACCAATTTTCCTTTGGTCCTATCGCCACAGTATTCTTAATGTAAAGGTCCTCTTTGTGACCAGTCCTTCTTGAAAAAGAGAACTTGTTGAATTCTCTTCTTTAAAAAGAAAACCTAAGGGAATATAAGTAATAGTAGAGACTGCTTGATAGTATTCCCAGACCTCTAGACTTCTTATGATGCCTAGATACAAGTTAGGGCAAGATTTGATTTATAAGTAATATTCTATGAGAGAAATATAGCTCAGAATTTGAACTAAATAATGGTGGAAATGCTGTTTATTTGCTGAATTATTAAAGTATTAATTGGGAAAAAAAGTGGGATTTTAAAACATTTTTCTTTCAGATGGCACCAGCTGAATTGCTTGCAAATTCAGAAAGCATTGGTGAGAAGAGAAGCAATACTCCATGTCCCGCACGCACTAAACAGGTATGTGCTGTTCATATCAATTTACCTTTGATCAGATTGATGGGCACCACTGTGTACTCTCAAGGGAATTCTAGTCCTTAATTTGTTGTGTATCAAAAGTGAGGACTATTTTTGTATTGGTAAGCTTTGATTATATTCCCATTTGCAGTATTACCAAAAACCTGACAAAACAAGCACATTGATTCAGTTTAAAGACAGTGTGAATAACAGGAAACAGAGAATGATGGAACACAACTGCAGCTGTCAATAGTTCAGTAGGAAATCATGCCAAATATAATTTGCTTAATATTGGTATGACACTACAGAAGAAATAACAGAACTCACCATCAAATAATTATCTTTATCCTCATCTCAAAACACTCAAGCTGGATTTCAGTTGCTAGGACTCCCTACATCAGAGATCATAAATAATCCAAAGTAGAGATTGCATCCATGTTGAGGACAATTCACAAAACATAAGAAAAGACTGAGCATGTATTTAGAATTATAAAAATCCAGACAAACATATTTTATTCATGGATATACAATGAAAGTTTCCAAATAATCAATGGATAAATCAAATCTTAGAAGTACAGGCAAAGCAAAGCAGATCTATGTTTTATGTGATTAATTACTTTAGCTTAAAGAATATTTTGAAGTCTTGGGATCCTGGACATAAATGTAAATAATTTCCTATGTAAAATAGTCTGATAAATTGGTGCGGGTTTAAGCCTTGGAAAGGTAGGATCCATTGATAACAGATTTAGAGATCTAAAAATGCCATTTTGCAAACTGCTAACACAGACAAATACTGCAAGATATTAAACAGTGATGTTTTGTAGAAATTCAACTCACATAATTCCCTTCAGTTCAATAGAAAATGTCCTGTAATCTGCTGATGAGCCAAAATGAAACCTAATTGATTTTCTTACCTCCAATCCAAGTCAGTGGGAGTTTCAGCATTGACTCGGAGCCCAGATTTCACTCAAAATTTTGAGACTGCTCCAAAGAGTGTCCCTCATGAGAATCACTTCAGCAGATGTCCATAGCTCTGTTTTGCTAACCACAGCTTTGTCAGTCCTCATCAGCCTGAGCCTCAGCTGCCAAGGAGAGAAGTCAAGGGTGTGTGAAACAGCAAATATCGCATGAGGATTGTGGCAGCTACGATGCCTCTACCCTTTTCATCACTCCATACTTCACTTAAAGAAGTAGCAGGTTCATTTCACTAGAGCTTCGGATAGCAGGCCAGCAATCTCTAATTTTGTCTGTACTTCTGCAAGCTGCTTTCCCAGTATTAATTTGCTTCAAATATAACCCTCTTAAAAGTGGGCTAGACCTTCTCATGGCACATTGATCCTCCTGCTTTTTTGGTCTCATGCTGCCAAAGCCTATCTGGCAGCTTGCTCACTCACAGCTCACCTGTCATTCTTTTCCACAGCATTTTCCCCAATGTCTTCTTCCTTCTCTTCAGATGTCAGAGTTGATCAGGGGATGCTCGTGGGCATTTTTATAGTAAAACTTGAACTTCATCTAACAACTGAATTGAATTGTTTAGTAAAATAGACACAGTAAAATCCCAACATGCTTTCAGTCATTTTTTTCATAGATCTGGCATGAATCACAATCCTTTGAAATAACAAATAACTTGGGAAAGCATCTATATTAAAACAAACATGTCTAAAGAATCAAGGCATATATGAGGTTCTATTATTTCTGGGTGTTTAAATTTTTGCACTAGTTGTTAGATTGTATTTAGAGAAGTAAAGGAAAAAGAAAACAAAAACAAATATACCACCACACTCTTGTACTGAATACTGTCAAAGAGACCTGCTTTGGAAACCCAATTTATTAGAGTGTGCAGCAGTGTATAACCCAATTTATTAGAGTGGGCAGCTTATAGGTGATAGAAACAATGCTTAGTAGATTACATATTTGTGTACAGAACTCAGCAAAGAGAGAGTAGCTAAAGGAAACATTATGCACACCTTTGCTGAGAGCCTTTGCACAAATGAAATCAATCTGAATATGTGATTACATTCACGCAAAAATCAAGAGGCAGAGAAGTAATTAACAAAGCAGATGACTTTGATGTGCTTTGTGATTAAAATTAATGCACTTATGCCTACCCAATTCTCTTTGAAACATGATGAGAGGGTTGTTTGGTTTTTTTTCTGGATCCAAGCTAACATAAAAATAATTTTTGCATTTCTTTTCTTTTAATATTTGGGAGGATCTTTTAACAGCTGGCAAAGTAAAAAAAATATATATATATAAAATGCTCAGAAAATGTTATAGAGATGTTGGCTTAATTATTTAACTCTTGACTGACAACTTTTTTCTGAAAGGAACAAGTCCAGCAACTTGGCTGTTAATATTTTTTTTTTTTTGCTGTGTAACTGTGTCCCCTTTAGATGTAATTAGGCCAACCACACCTCCTCTTCCACCACGTTTCCCTGGCAAATGCTCATATAAACATAAGCTACAGTAAATCCACAGGTTGCTCTTTGTTTATGGAAAGGTACATTCTCTTTTATTGTTACTGTTGTAATAAATGCTTATACATAATATAATGTTGTAATAATGTTTTCTAGGATCTACTTGAACAGTTTGAAATTCCAATAAGCTGCTGCAACATTTTCTGACAAACGGTCTTTTGCCCTATTTCTTGCTACCTCTCAGAATACATCAAGCTGAATTAGAAGAAATATTTTTGCTAGATTTTGCATGACAAGGGCAGGTATTTAATCATAACTCTGTCTTTGTTTTTTCTTTTTCTTCTTTCCTTTCTCCTCTTCCCCCTCCTAGCCTGAGGAGAGGAAGATGTTGGCTGATATTTCAGTTATCTCTCCAGCTGGTGAGGATCTTGTTTCACAGGATACAGAGCTGTCATCTTCAGCCAAAGAGGATAGTTTACAGACTGAATTCCTGGCGGAAGAAACACCCTCTGGAGATGAATATGAGTGTATATCACCTGATGATATATCTTTGCCACCGCTTTCTGAAACACCAGAATCCAACCTCTTACATTCTGAAACAGAGCTGGAAGAGCAGTTCTGTTGTAGTTCTCATAGTCTGCATGTCAGTTCCTATAGCTTGCAAATGCAGAAAACCACTAGAACAGTAAAACTGATGGAAGCACCTGACCTCTTAACAAATTCTGCTTTTGCTGATGCTACAAATAACAGAACGGAAAGCCCATCAGATCACTTTCAAAAGTTTTGTATCTCTTTCACAGATTCTGGTCCAAAAGTCAGAGCAGTATCTCCTTTGACTTGTAGCTCACAAGGAATATCTGAAACTAGCACTGCTTCCGACCCTATAAAAGCCAACCCAGTAGATAGCATGATGAGTGAAACATGCAAAACACATTTACAACACCTTGAACTTCATAAAAGCATGACAGAAATGCAAGAAAAATTGCATGCTTTGAATAACTGTACTAAACCCCAGGGCAGGCTGCATGCTTTGCCTGATGCATTCTCAGGTTTCGTGTTTCAACCAGATGCCACCAGAAGCTGTCAGAGGCAGATGGTTACCCAAGAAGAGATTAAAAGTCCTTCAGAAAAGAACAGCATGGCCAGCCTAACTGGACAGGCACCTAACTTCTCCCGGCTTCTGTCTAACAAAACCGTCATGGAAGGTTCTCCAGTAACTTTGGAAGTAGAAGTAACGGGATTCCCAGAGCCTACACTGACATGGTGGGTAGCTTGCAATGAGAAGTAGCAAATATACCTAGTAGTGAGCCACCATGAACTGCTTATAACCAAATAAATTCTTCTGTAGGCTAGAATAAAAGGCTTGTATCCTTCTCCTCCACACTTCTGCATGATTTCCACCTTCAGAATTGTTTTCAACAATTAACCATCTTGAAATAATCTCTCTATCAAATTTCAGGAATGAGAGTATCAAAGTACTGCAAACATATCCAGTGTTTACAAGCAAAATAAGCATACAGTTTTCATAATCTGGAATATGGCATTCTACTTGTTCAATGCCTTCTTAAACCATTGCATACTTGAGATTTACTATAAATAAATTCACCTCCTCTTTCCCAGGCTCTGGGCACTACGTATGGACAGAGACATAGATGTGCATGCACACTGAAATATCTATGTAGTCACTATGTAGATGGGGACACAGTTACACATATGTGAAAGTCAGGTATCAAAACTAAGGTTGCATGTTTAAAAACCCCACCTAAATATCTACACTAAGAGAATCAGTTTTGTACCATGTATTGGTGTGCATGGTCTATCTCTTAATTGCTACATGTCTATTTAGATTACTTTATTATTGGATTTGTGAGAAATACAGATGATGTAACATAAATGTCTGAACTCTAAAACTTCCCTGCCAAAGGGAACAGGGACTGAAAGAAGGACAGGATTTTGAGATTTTTTTTCATAGTTCTATATGTTGTGACATGTATTCCTTCAATTTTACCTCATTTGTCTTTTCTCCACTTATTTCATTAGTCTTTCAAAATGGAGGCCTTTCTTTTAATGTATTAAAATTAAATATGCCTCTTACTGGAAAAAAAATGATATTATTATTATTGCACATTTAAAGAATTAAACTGTATGTTTTTGTTAAACTGAAATTTTTTTCAGTGGCACTGAGAAGAATACTGGACACTGAAACCTTGGTGCTATACTTTGTTGGTATCAATAAAGTTAGCTTGTTTTAAATACCAGTATTGTACAGACTGGAGAGTATTATTGGTGAAACGACATTCATTTTATTGTAAGAAAGCATTAATTTAGCCCAAAAATATATACACCATTAACAGGCTTTCAAAAAGACATTAACATTACTAACATTCTTTCAAAAAGATAGCATTCAAGTGGAATAATTTTGAAAATTAGAAATTTGTGAAAACAGAAAAAAATATTGTTTTAATTTAAAAATCACCAATAACATGTATTTTTGTACTGGTGTAGAAATTTCTTCGGCTATACATGTAGAAAAATATTTTCATGTTTGTGTTAGGTTAAATGTAGCCTATGCTGAAACATAGGCTGGGGCAAGGAGAGCCAGAATTTTCTCTAATTTCCATGTTTAAATCAGAAGTGAATACCAATACATCATGACAGATCCTTAATTGTTAGATTATGGCACGAGTTTGCTGAAGTAATTCCTGATGCATTTTTCTATCCTGTTTGACGATGTGAGCTAAAATGTTAAGTGGGCTGGGATGGAGGAAGGTTCTTGGCTGTCTTTTATGCAGAAGATGCAAGTTTATAAAGTTTGTTTGTTGATCCTTTGGAGCCTATTCATGAGTTGGATATGGACTGACTCAAGACCTCATTAGCAAAAATATCTCAGGACAAAACTGAGAGCCCAGGCCATCATGTTACCTCTCTAATACTGCAGTGAGAGAATTGTAGCTTGTATGTTGAAAACCATTTTCAGAACCAAATTTTCTACTGTTAAGAATGTATTGTCCTATAATTTGCATTGTTTAACTGTTCATGCATATTGACAGACTAAGTTTAAAACTGAGAAATGAGAGTAAAGCAGTTCTCTGTCCCTTACTGTTACTGTAGTGTTACAGAGATTGTCTAAATTTGCAAAGTTCGGTGTGGAATGCAGTGATAAAACTCTGACTTGAAAACTGACTCTCTGCTTTAGGTACAAGAAGGGCCAGAAACTGTCTGCAGATGAGCACTTAAAGCTTTTACAAAAGGAGACAAAGCATACTTTGTTCATTCAGAAGGTGTGTGATAAAGATGCTGGCCTCTATGTTGCTCGGGCTAAAAATTTGAACGGCACTATCTCCTCAAGTGCCATTCTTCACGTGCAAGGTAACAGGCCACTTATTGCAAGAATAGACTGGATAATGCTGTGTGTCATCTATATTAGTGTATCACTAATGTACTGGCTATTCACAAAATAAGTACAATATTGACTGCACTGGACTTAATTATCACATGTTGAATTTATTTTCTTACACTGCATTTTCATAATATGTACCAAACCACTTTTTCTGGCAAAATGGATATGTTGCTTGTTTCTTTATTGCCAGTATTCTGTGTTTATTCTACTTTCTAATAGTGATGCTGACATAAAAGTTTTACAAAGATTTTTCTAGAATCTGAGGCTGAGTTTTGCTTTCTAAAAATGTAGGCATTCCAAAGCACTGGAAACAGTTTTATGGTTGTAGGTTTTAAATGTCAGTATAGAGCCAGGTAAAGTGTTCAGATCATTGTATATTTTGGAATATGTCTTCTCCTGGGATAGGGTGTGGAAGGTGTTTTAAACGTCAATTGTATTTTTTCCAGGCACGTATTTGCTTGTATTCATACAAAAAAAAAAAATTTAGGACAAAGCTTCTTAGGGAAGGTATCAAACCATTCATGATTGAACTAATATATATCAGATTTAAATCTGTCTCAGCCCAGCATACAGTCTCCACAAAGGAAAGCTGCAGTAGTTCAATAGAGTTGTGATTGTGCTACAGAACGGACCCAGAACCATCAGGATTCGTGTAAGTGGCATCTAGGACATAATAGAACCAATGTTTATAAAATGAAACATTCCAACATTCCACTATGCTTAAATAGATGTCTGTAATACTTTCTCTGCCTTCTTACAATGTAAAGGTACAAATATTTCTAATAATCCTCTAAATTGTTAGTGTACAAGAAAGTTAATAACTTATGAAGTGAGCATTTGCATTCATTTGAATTTTTTAATGCACTGATTTCAAACAGAATCAACCATATCAGGGAAATATCCAAAAGTGTATATTAATTTTAGAAAAATTAAAAAAAAAACAAAAGTCAGTCAAACAGAATTTTCTTTTAAATTCAGAGCAGTAAATCCAAATCAATGCTTTGTTCATCTACAGTTTATATTTCCTTCTTGACAAGAACAACCACAAATATATTTTTTATTGAAGTTCTAATTTGTTTAACTATTACATAACAATGATGTAATTGTGCGAGTGGAAGGCTCAATTTATAAATCCTCAAATATAATGTCATTCTTCAGCCTCAATATTTGTTGCATTTATGCAGTAAAAAGAGTTGACAAACAGCTACATGATTTTTCCTGCATCTTTTGATTACCAGCTTTTGTGTTACAATTGCATTGCTGTGGAAAATATTTAAAGAGGAAGTATTTACCTTCTCTTGCATAATTTGCTGGAATAAAGTAAACCTTTTACTGTGTAGCATGCTATGAAAAGAATATATATTGTATTTGCTGAGGGTCAGATATTTTGGCCTAGTGATTTCAACATTTAAAAAAGGAAAAATTCTCATGATATAACCTCACAGCAATGAGAGGGAGCAGGAGGAGGAAGTGGTGAACAGATGGGGAACACAAGAAGTTCTAACTTGGTATTACCCTTAATGAACCACTTTCTAAGTTCAGTAATCTCCCAAAAACATAGATTCATAAAGATTTTCTCAGGTATAAATTTCACCTGTTTTCCTGCAGTGTATTTTCCATTTCACAATAAAGGTAATTTAGATCTTAATAAATCATTGTATAAGTATATAATACCTTTTGTTTGTTTGATTCTTAAAGATTTCCTCTGAGAATTTGACAGTTTCTGTGAATTTTAGGTAAACAAAAGTTGATTTTGTGAGTGTGTTATTGCATCTACTTTCAATCAGGAATAGCTTTAAATGCAGTTTTTAATGGGTGGATATCAGCCACAATTTTAATTGCTGCAAGAAACAAGATTTCAAAAAGAATGCTTAGAGATACTGAATTCACAGCAGGACTCTGAAACTCTCATGGTTTTAATGTTCTGCTTTGTAAACAAAGACATAATCAACACTGGTTACTGCTGTGCTGGCAGTCTGGATTTAAATACCCTTTATTTAAGGACTCAAATGAGTATTTAAAAAAAATTACTGGAAAATTCCAGCTGTGTTCTGTTTAGATAATCTAAAAAAAAAGGGGGGGGGGGGGGGGAGGGAAAGGAGTGACTGTGATGTTATCTAATGATGCACTAGTATTTCTTTGAAGGAAAAAACACTCATTCTGTTGCAGCAATAATCTTAACATAATGCTTCCCACTCTGATTGTATTTTTTAAAATGCTTTACCTCTTCCTTCTTTTAACCATACTGTAGAGCAGGGAATACATCTGGGTGTTTTGTATGGTACTGGTTCTTTCTTGGTTCACAACACTGACTTTCCCTCATTGCACTCAGTTTTGAGGCTATAGTTTCTTCAGGATCCCAAAATGTTTACATCTTCCTGATGGCTCCCTTATAGTGAAGATTTAGGCCTCAGTCCCCCCATCCTTAGAAGAAAGACATTAAGTATATAACTAACCTACACTGCCTTCCTTCTTCCCCATATGAAGACACCTTTAAGAAAATGGTGAGAGATACTGCCTGATTACAAGACATGGAGTCGTGTGAAGGGGTGTTTACACAAGGTACCTAAATTTGGAGGGGAAAGGAATTAATTATTTTAATTTTTCAAGAGAGGCAGCCTGATGTCACAGGTTTGAGTCAGTAGGCAGAGGGAGGATGAGACATTACCCAGATTGGATCAAATGTGGCTGGAGCTGCAAAGGAGAAGGTGAGTTCCTCTCAAATGACTGGTAAGGTATGCTTACTTCTGCACCTTTCTCTGGAGACTTTTCTAGGGTAAAGGAGTAATTTTTGTGTGTGTGTGTGTGTGTTATGATCTGTGGTCTAGAGGAACTGTGTCTTGAAAAATTACTGCCAAGACTTTAAAGAGGTTACATATGGTATTCAAGGAGACTGGAGCTCTGGGGTTATGGATATTTCAGATCAATTGAGTCATGACACCTGCGTAATATTCCTAATAAAGGAATCCTTCTGTTTGTGTTAGGAGCTTGACTGAGACAAAATCTCCAAACAATAAAGTGTGCTGTCAATTCAGAGTAATGCTGAGCAAATCCAAAGTCTCTAAGCAGCATGGTGGGAATCTGCCTAACCTAAATTCATAGACAAGACAGGGGAAGTTCATAAAACTGCTAATTTCACATTTCAAGACACCAGAGACTGGAAATTACATGCCTAGAATAAATAGATTGACAATAACTGTGAAGCAATTTAATTTAAAAAGTAGCTGTTAAAACCAATTTGGCTTGACCTGCACACCTGTGTGTAAGAGAGACTTTAGGCAGGGGTGAACGCAGTGTAATAGACAGATGAAGGTGAACTTTTCTCCTGCAGTTTTAGCATTGCTTCAGGTTGATGATTTTTCTGTGCTTATTCACCAGTTTGCAGCATAATTCTACTGGTTCCTACAGAAAATTCATGGAATATTTGATAGTTGACAAAATTATTGTCTGCAGCTGTAAGAGTGGTATTTCAGTACCACTGTCTAGCTGATTATTTTTCTCACAATGGAAGAACAGATCTGTTCTTTCTAACCTGTGTGGATGGGATCATGGGATATCCAGCCAAGAAATAATTTGCAATTAACAAATTGTATTCTGAGTTTTTGTTATGATCTCATGCAAAAACCATTGGTGAAATATAACCATTCTATTTTGAAGGTTGCTGTCAAATGATAAAATCTTTTTTTACAGCAGGCTTTGTTGAGGTAAAGCCTGTGCCTGAAAGAGTTGTAAGAACTTCATGATTTTATTTGCACATACCTTTGCTCTCTAGAAACTGAACCTTTTACTTTTTGTGTTCTGCTGTCTTACTGATATAAAGTCAAGATGTGGTCTGATCATTATTACAGTCACCATTCCACTCAGATTTTTTTTTTTTTCTTTGAATTGTAAAAATCATTTTGGTATCAGATTCAACATGAGTACACAAGGCAATCCAAACTGCACAAGTTATGGAATCCAGCCAAAATTATCCCAAGGAGCCACTGAAGCCCACTTAATGTTTTCCACTGGAATACTAGCTAATCATGTTCTATTTGTGACCTGTTGCTAACTGCCTGCAAAGAGTAGGCAGGGATGTAAACTTGGTTCTCTTGCTTGAAGTGAAGCTGGAGATCTCAAATTTCTGGGCTTCAGGTGCATGCAATGCAATGGGGGTGGCAGCTTGCACATGCTAACCTTCAACAGCTAAGAACTGAGTTGTTTGAGCTGCTCTGGCTGGCTAATAGAGAGGTCACACAAGGTTAGCACCAGTATGGGAGAGCAAAACTTACATTCTTCTGCTTTGCCTTGGTGCCTCAGTCCTGCAGTACCTAGGAAGAATATGAAAGCAGATAAGCTTGAAAGCTTATTGGAACTACGAGCTCACTTAAGAAGCTAATTTATTAATACAGTGGTCAAAATGTCTGCCTCGTGATGCCAGCAGGCCCACAGTTGGCAAAAATAGCCTTTGGCTCAATATATTTGGGTCTAGAAGTTGATGGGCACCTGTGTGAAGTAAGTTGATATTTGTTTCATAATAACATAAAGAAAAAATTTTCATCCTTAAACATTGGAGTTATGGTGTCATGGCAGTTCCAAACCTTTCTATTTTGGAGAAGGCCAGTGATAACCTTTGTCAAATATTTTGGAAATGTAGTACAATTTATACTAAAGAGGAAGGAGGACACATTCTTTATGTGATAGAGATGCAAAAAGATAGTTTTTATTGTAGGGTGTCTTTGTGTGTTCTTCTTGTGTTATCTTCTGCTTTACATTCCCTGTGTCAAGAATACTTAGTCACTTCTGAGCTTGTCTTCTCTTTTTACTGCAACCTCATAGGTGGAATATAAGTGGAACCTCAGGTGGTAATACAATGATTCAATAAATCCAGCTTTACAGGTCATTAAGTTACATGTCACAGAAAGCAATGCTTTTATTCAGTACAAACTGATGCTGATGATCAAAATCTCTTCAATTTTGATGGGTTAATTTGTATTGATCAGTCCTTGTAGTGGTTCAGGTGTCACCTGTCCTTCCACAGTTGGCATGAGGCTAGCACAAAATAAATCTCACGTGCTTTAGGTATTGCAATAAAAAACAAATTACTTGCCCATCCTTCATCTGAACAAAATTTGTACTGGATGATGTGGTAACACATGGTTTCAATATTAATGACAGCGAAAATAATGATGTGGTCAAAGCTGTAGAGAGGCATAATTCTGCCCTTCATATATGTTGCAAATACCAATTTTCTAAATCTTTACAATAACTTTTTTAAAACTAAAATAATAGAGGGGGGGAAATGAAGAAATGTGATGTACAAGAATGCACTAAATTATAAAATTTGCTCTCATGACTTTGTCACTTTAAATTTGTGTGGAATGATTAATCTTCCACCTTCGTTGAAGCAATAATTGACACAGACTTGCTTAATATCGTACCAAACAATATAATTCTTTACCACTTCCACAGAACTAATACCACTATGCTGATGCATGAAATTCTTGGGTGCTTAAGATCCATGTTTTTTAACAAATGTTATATTAGCTAGATAAATTATATATGACAATTGTCTTGCAAACAAGTTATTCTGAGTTCCAGGCATCAGTAAAGGCTCTCTTTGTCTTCCAATGTGATAAACTTTGCCAGAACAGATTCTTTTCTTCAGTTGCTTTAGCTGTCTTTTAAAACACAATTAATACTGATTTTATTTTTTTTTTTTTTTAAGTACAAGGAAAACAGCCAAACTTCATACAAAAGTTTGGACATAGAACTCTGCAGGAAGGAGAAGATTTAATCTTGCATTGCACTATACATGGAAAGCCCAAACCACATGTCTGCTGGACAAAGGATGACATCCAAGTGGTATCTGGAGATATCAGTGTATGTTTTAATGTTCTTGAAATTTTTCTTGGGAGAAAAATTTGTTTTATGGTGCTAACTATCCCCTATGTATATTCTCTTGTTTTACAGACTGAGAAATTAGGAGATACCTATTACCTTTTAAAAAGAAATGTAGTCCTTGCTGATACTGGGAAATACATCTGTGTTGCCAGCAATGAAATTGGAAAGGCTCACTGTTCTGCTTTTGTGACGGTGATAGGTGATTCCTCCTGCCAGCTGCATGCTTTTTGGCACTCTCTTGCCTTATTACATGAGCAACTAATGGACGTATTTTGTTTCAGAGAAAAATAAACCCCCGCACACTTCCAGTGTAATGCAGGCTAAACCAGAATGTGAAGATGGATACTTTTCAGAAGAAGTGAATGTCACCACAGCAGAGCTAGTACAAGCCCAGAACACACCATGTGAGGGAGAAGAAAGGCCAGTGGCTAAATGTACTCCAGTAAGGTAACTTGCATCTTACTCCATGCTGCAGCTTGTTCTACTGCAACAACTGTAACAACCTTAATTTAAAAAGCACACATCACTCTTCCTAATTTATGAATTTCTATGTTATGTGCATAATACGTGACTCCCTTTTTCACTTAATTCTTCATCAAAATATGCGTAATTTTTAGATCAAATAACTAGTAATACATTAGAAAATTGAGCCTGTGCAAGGTATTTATGTTTATTGTATATTTATGTATTTATGTTTAGTGAAATTTTTTTTTAAATCTAGTCATCTTAATCTAGATATTAAAGTAAGATTGAAGAGTTTAAAACACAAAGTACTACAGAAGTGCAAATTGATGCAGTTATTTGAAGTTTCATGAGCAGAATATATAAGCGAGGTTATTCTGAAGAATAAGTAGCAATCCTAATAAGACAGGAACTGTTGTTATTACTTAATTGATTAAAAATAACAATGCTTCCCACTGTGCAATTTCAGATTAAATAAATGAGATACATGAAGTCACTAATCCCTGTGACTTTCAGCACAGGATGAATTCTTGCCTCATTAATATAAAATTCTGATAAGAATGAATATAAGATTCTGATAAAGAAGAAAGCATTTTTGTCTTTAAATTTCTAAGGTTTATCTATCTAGATTTAGCACAACATGTAAACATAAAGGAAAGGTTTTGCACATGTTGATTCAAAAGCTTTGTCCTTTTCCTTGTGAGCTGCCTGCACACTTGGCTTCATGGCATTGATCCCACATATTTTGTTCAGGGATTTTTTCCATATTACTGTGCTATGGCAGTTATTCATAAGTAAAAACTGACATGAAAAATCATCATAATTTTATGTAAGTCACACAGAGAATTCAGTATGATTTAAACATGTAGACTGTATGGGTTAGATTTATCCTAATTTTTTCTCTAATCTTCTGTTGTTTGTAGATAGTATATTCTGGTCAGTAAGATGAGATTTAGAATATTTTATATTCTCTCTGTAATCACGGTTTTTTTCATCTCTAATCTTTTATTTTCACTAGATCACAAAAAAACTGTCTATGCCACCATTAAAAATATGGGCAATATTAACTGACATTTTTCAAACAGGTTTAAAGAGAAACTTTGGTTTCAAGGAGTGCATCTTGAACTTGACAGGCCATAAGAGATTCACTTCAATTTCAGACATGATCCCATTCTTCTGCCTGATGCAGTGGAACAGAAGATGGACTGAACAGCAAGATGCCTGATTCCTGAGCATGTTTGTGGTGTTTGCTGTGTCCATTAGTAGAGATTGGCCATGGGTGAGGAACAGATGAATTTTGGGTGCTATCCAATATATATCTAAATTTTTATTTTGTTTCTTTACAAATAAATCATTATTAAAATTCACCTGTGCACAGCATTTATTAGGCAGTGATTTATAATTTCTTTTGGGTCTTCTCTGGATTGTTGGACAAATCTAACAGAAGGCGATGATGAAGAAAAGAAACATTCTCCTTAAAAATTGCAGATCTCCTTGGTGATTCACTAGTACCCACTATTGTATTCTACAAATTCCATCAGTGGTATTAATTTCATATTTCATATCAATAGGTCTTCCCACTAGGTAATATAATAATTAGGATTTAAAACAAAATTATCTGTTAACTACAGAATTCTTCAGTTTATTAGAGTGTTAATTGTCATATTTCTAACAGCTTTGAGACATATTTTGGAGGTCAGCCACCAAAAGGAGTTGTCACTTATATTAGCAAATCTTTTCTAATGCTTGCTTAGTAGCAGGAAAGTCTTCAGGAAAGAGAAAGTCCCTCTAAGTTAGCATAATGGAGAAGTCTTCCACTGCAATGCTTCTGCTTTCAGGACTAGATTAGTGTGACAATACAGTCCATGTCCAGTTGGTGCCTGCCATTGCAGTTTAAAGGAGTGGACTATGAAGTGATATTAGTGCCAGCTTCAAAGCACATTTTTAGTTTAGACAATGACTCTTCAATAATAGAATTCCTTAAGAACCACAGTGTTTATTCAGGGTAATAAAAAAGCCCTGAACTGGAACTGAATCTTTGGATTTTAGGCCAGTCATTAGCATGACACAGCATTAGCTTTGTCTCCATCTCTTGCATTCAGAGTTTAGGTGTGTTTTCCAATTTATCACAAAGGTTCTTGTAAAGAAAGACAAGGACTTTTGTAGTGTCATCCACTTGTGGCATTTAAAAAAAGGTAGTTCAGGAAAAGCTCCATTTTAGATGGCTGTTTGGCTGCGACAACAGTAAACAAAACAGTTGCCCTTGCAAATAGCAGTTCTTGAGCTTGATCTGCCTGATTCAGATTTTCAAAGTCCTACCTTGGAAAATTTTGTGAAATGATTCACACTTCTAGGACTTCTGCTTCATTGCGCCCTCAACGGCTTAGCCAACACCACAGATACACACAGGTTCCACATGTACTTTACAATTTCATGTTGTCCAGCATTCTGTCATTCTATACATGCATGATTAGACCTGCTGTGGTTTTGCATACCACTGCAATACCCTCACACTTCTCACTGGGAGCAGATAGGGATTTAAGGAGTGCTGCATTTTTGTTCTTCATCCTAGCAGATGTCATCTGTGCAAAACTGGGCCAAAATAACATATTTAAGAATTGCTTCAATCATAATATTAAAACATTAGACATTTTTCTCCATCAAGATGCAGTTTCGATAGCAGAAACTTAAATTTATCTTCAAGTTAAAGAACAGGCAGAGAGAGGAAATGAGCTGGAAAAAAATATCATGTACATGTCTTCACCTGATCACATAAATCACTTGCTTGACGTTATGGAAAAGTCAGTGGCATCCTGCCCGCAGAAGAGTCACAAGGCTATGTATATGTGCACATAAATATAGTAGCAGCAGACTGCAGTACTTGCTCTGCATATTTACCCTGTATCTCTCACGGATTTCTCCAAAATGGAATGAAGAAAAGTGTCAAACATCTTACAGATCCTATGTAATTGCCTTTCCCAACTGAGCCCCTCGTTTGTGTGTGTTATTTAGATTTAGAGATATCATAGAAAATACTGTTTCTAACTGTACTTACATTCAGAGGATTGAAAAAGTCCATATCAGATGTCCATCCCCTTCTTCGCCACAAATTATAAACTCCCTAAATGAATGTTCTTTTCTCAGCTGGAACCCTTTAGTATGGCATATATGATTTCCTATTTAGAAATTGATCCTGCAAAAATGAAAGTGTAGAGTTCAGTGCTTGCTTTTCTTGGATGCTCATCAAATTTAAAATATTGTGTTCTTTTTGCTTTTCCTTGATTGTTAGACTATGATAAAAAGATTAATATTTGAGGGTTTTTCCTCTTGATTCACAAAACCTAACTCAGGAAAAAAAAGTTTTAATGCTTATTTAAATAATACATGGGGCAAACCAGAAATCTGTGTATCTGTTCTTACTTACGGTTTTCTTACAAAATAGTAGAAAGTGGTGTTTATAAATAAATAAAGATTTATCAACTTTCTTTGGCCAATGAATAACACAGCTATTTCTTCAACTGTTCCCAGAGAATGGATCCATTATGAAAAATGGTAAGTCTGTTTCTTTTCATTTTACAAATCATAGATGTCCACAGATTTGTTAAAATGTTTCCAAAATTGATGAAATATGTGTATATAATATCTATTAAATGCTAAGGACTCATATCTATTAAATGCTAAGGACATTAAATTCTAATGTCTCAATATTAGACAAAATATATTCCTAGTACAACAATGTTAATTACTGTTTTGTGGAAGAAAATGGAACACTTAATGAGTATGTTCTTTATTCTGGGTGCAGGTTTTGTTAGTAGGGCCTGCTCTCTAAAGTGAAGTGCTGAGAAGGCAAATGTTTTTCTTTCTTCCTTGTTCCATGTGCGTAAATATATGAGGAAGATACATAAAGAAGTAATATACAAGGAAAATTTGTCAAAATTGACATCTATAGATCTCCTTAGGTATTTCAAAGGAGATGATATAAGTGACCCCTATCAACATGAAGGTGGTGAATAGGAATCCTGATAATGTGCAGTTTCCAGTAAGTTGTTTCCATATGAAACAGATAAACTAATTGCAAAACTCACTTAGTGCCTTAGTGCCTTACTTTTGTTTGCTATGTTGGAAGCAACTGAAAGTGCCTTCTTCAGAAAGAATTTTTTGCAAGCAGGTTTTAGTTTGCCTTGAAAAAGTTTTATGTATCTTGCATATTCAATTACAGTGGCTCAGATAAGAATCATAAGCACCTTAAAGGCAGCAGCCTTTCAAAAGCCAGTTGCAGCACACAAGCGTGGATATTCTTCTGCATACAATTCAATTTGTATTTGTAGGTTCTGTATTTAAGGTTCTAAAATTTTTCTTAAAAAGTACTGTTTGTAGTATTAGCAGGGAAAGAGAAGTTGATAAGGGTAGTGGAAGTGTGATTTGATTTTAAGTCAGGATTTAGTGATTTAACAATTTAGAATTGTTATTTCTAAGCTTAAAGAAAGTGGGTGGGAGAAAGGAAAGTAATTGTTTTCTAAAGTATATCTGGAAAACTGGAAATTCAACAAGAGTATAATATATCAATATATTTTGGGTTCTGTTTTGTTGGTTCTATAAGGATGTAGGACATAATTTTTCCAGTGAGAAGTTTTATGTGAAGTTCTATTTCATGACTCTCTTTGTTCGCAGAGTTGATCGAGGAGGGAGTAAGATGAAAATAGTAAATGAAAGGAGAGATAATAGATATTGCATTTGAATGAATGGAAGTGAGAAGTAAGGGAGACAGCAAAAATGGAAGGAGAGAAGGGAATGGAAAAGGTACTTGGTTTTTTTACACAGTTTGCAAATTAGATAGACTAAGGGACCAGGCAAGAAATCAGGATTTATGTTACA